CAGAACGTTTGGAGCGATTTTTTTGAAATTATATTGGGAGAGGGAGGACTGTTTTTTCGTAAAATCATTCATTAACGAGAGGAATTTAATTGCGATGTTGATACTTTTGGGCTGAAATTTCTACTACAAAAAAAAAAAATTAATCAAGAATTTTTTTTTTTTTAAATAATTTAATAATAATAATTATTATTATTATTATTATTTATTTAATAATTTTTTATTTTTATTTTAATCAAGTGATTGTTCCAATGACGTTTTAAGGAATTTCATCATTAAAAGTTCACAATTTGATGAAAAATCAATGAAAACTGTAAATTTCAGTTTAATTATTTCATTTTCAATTGATTGAAAATTCAAGAAAGTTGGAAAACTTCGATCTTCCTCAAATCGATCATTGAATAAATCATTTATCAATCCTGTTTCTAAATTGTTCAAACATTTATCATTTCACCGATGAATAAATTTACCAGTCAATTGAAAATTCAGTGTATTTTGGTAATGAATATTCACTTTTTGTTTGGAAATTCAAGAAAGTTGGGAAATTTTGATCTTCCTATTGCTAAAATCGCTGAAATTTGAAGTTTCACAAATTTTGAAATAGTCAATTGACAAATGGATTGATGAATTAATTCACTTATCAATCCTAATTCTCAACTGATCCAATAATTAACTATTCCATGGATAAAATGAATGGATTGAATAAACCCCCTCTTCCCAGGACGATTAAAATAATCACCGCAAACTAAAGATTCAAAAATTCTCATGCACAAGTCCATCTCCCCACCTCGGCAGCTCAATGAATCAATGAATCAACGAATCAATCGTCTATTGCTCGTAGCAATAACCGAGGAAATACCCGGATCTTCCCCCCCCCCCAACATGACCCCTCATCCCCTCCAATGATAAAAAAAATCAATCAAAAATCTCAAGACTCAATTGCAATTGTTCTATACATCGTAACGGTGCTCGGTGTCTCCTTAAAATCTAAAAAAAATGACCGCAAGTGCCCGTCAGCCTTCAGCAGTTATCGAGCCTGCATATACATCATTTAGGTACGAGGATAACGCATTTTACTTTAACACTTTCAACATCAAATTCTGTGAAATTCTCGTAAATGGGCTCTTTCACTCAATAATCGTTTAAATATATCTTGTGCCCGCACCATAGCCCAGGTGCTATCAACAATTAATTTAATCAATAAATTTTCATCATCTAGATACTAAACACAAGCACGTTATAGACATATCGACGTTTACAATAATATCTTACTGACAATTAATGTTATTATATTTTTTTGTTGATTTTTTTTCACATTTTTGAATTTTTTTCTTCTCAATTTAATTAAATTCTTTTAGTTTAACATTCAACGTATTCATTTATCTTTGTTTTTTATCATTACGCTAGTTATTTAGACTATAAATTAGCGATAAAAAATCACATCGAACGGGACAGCGCGATTTAATGAGGGGCCAGGTAGTTTTTTTTCTCTGGTAATTCATTAGGTTTTGTTCATTTTTTTGTTTAGTTTTTTTTGTTTGTTTATAGATCTCTAGTGTACTGCATAGACTCTGTACGCAATATATACGTCGAAAGCTCTGCTTTCGACGCTCTCACTTTATATTTTTTATTTGTTTATTCATCATTTGTTAATTAGTAATTAATACACACGATATTTTGTCACTTTTCAAAAATTGGTTCGGACAAAATAGGGAATATCTTCGAAACTAGCGGGTTTAGAGGAAAATGTCAAAAGAGCTTTTTAATTCAGTAGAAAATTTCCTACAAAAAAAGTTTTATGACATTTTCTGCTAAACCGCATAGTTTTGGAGATATCGATGAAATAAGAAGAAACTGGGGAGTATTATCGACGAAAATCAGGAAAAAATGTAAAAAAATGTTAAACAAACGTATAAAAATCATCAAAAAATCATCATAAAAATCATCAATCTCTGCGGTGATTTCTTTAAGTATATAGAAGAAAAAAATATTGAAATTGAAAATTCAATCGTTTTTCCATCGGTAAATTTTTCACTCGCAATCGATGTGATCAGGACGGCAATTATTCAACCTTCTGTCATTACGGGACAATCAAACACTTGATGAAACAAATGATGAATCACCACAGAGATTGATCAATTCGAGAATGAAGAGGAAATTAATAGAGAATTGATAAAAGTAAAAAAACAGTTTCTGGACATTCCCGACGTCCTCGCGCACACATTCACAAGCTCAACACAAGAACGAAGACTTTGGTTTTTGTTATTAACCTACCTAATATTCAACCTTACTCGAAATTTATTTATATGCTCATTCTTACGTGTTAATTATCAATGAAAGTTCATAATTTTTTAATCTTTATCATCAAAATTATGCGAATAATTCTTGTTTTTGCTAAACGTAGGCCGGACTAACCGTTTCGCATCGATTTTTATATTCTGCACCCTTTTAATATTATTTTGCTTACTCAATTTCCTCCATTTAATAGTTTTTTTAGTTTATTTTTCAGTGGAGAATTGAGGAGTTCAGGTGGGGAGTGGTACAACGTGTCGAGACGATTTTGTGATGATAAATGTGGAAATATCTCATCTGAAAATCAGCTAAAATTGCCTCTTCAGACCACTCATTAACAAGATGATTAAACAATTAAAATGTTGAATATTTTTTGAGGAATCGTCATTAAGCGACATTTCCATCGATATTTCAAGGTATTTTGTTATTAAGAATTTATAATTCTTAACAAAAAAATTATAAATAATAATAATAATAATAATAATAATTATTATTATTATTATTATATTATATTATATTATTACATTAGGAAAATTCCGGTAAATACTCTTTTGAATTTTGAATGAATTGGAAATTCAGCGAAATTTTGTACTAAATATTCAGGTTTCGATTGAGAATTCAAGTGAGCTGTGAAACTCTCGCCTTACTGGTGGTAAAACATTTGGAATTCCATGGAATTTTTGGTGAAATGGAAATTTCAGGATTTTCGAAGTTAATTAATTGGGAAATCCATTGAGGAATTACTTATGTTCATCAATCCTATTTTTCAATTGATGAAATTAAAAAACCCAGCATCGATTGCTGGTCAATTAATTGTGGGTTTACAAAATGAAAATTGTCAATTCATAATTGTGGATTTTCAGAAGATGGCCTCAGTGGTCCTTAGCAATTTTAGGATAATTGAAACTGAACGAAGAATTTCTCAGTCTAAATTATATTCCAAAATTATCTAAAAATTATCTTAAAGTCTAAATTAGGGATAATTTAGACGGAGGCATTCTCCGTTCAATTTCAACTGCCCTAAAATTGCTGAGGACCACTTAGCCATCTTCTAAACCTCAACAATCATGAAATACATGATCAGTCAAAAATATATAAAAAAAAGAAATTTGTCAATTGATTGCCACAATTGTGAAATAACTGAAGTTAACATTACATTCGAGGTTTTTAACCTGAAAAGAGAGGAAAATGAATTTCGGTTCAATTATCCCACGGAAATTGGAAACCAGGAAAATTCAGAAACAATTCACAATAATCAAGTTCTAATTGAAAATTTAGTAAGAGAATTTTCGTCCTCTTGCTGCTCAAATTGTTCAATTCCCTTGAATTTTCAGTGAAATTCGAAATTTCATGATTTTTCCCCTAAATCGAATTCAATAAACAATTACAAGACTCCAAGAAGTCCCACCTCCTTACTAATTAGTGGCTTTCTCTGGTAATGAGTGGTAAAAGAAAAAATTCTCAAAAAAAATGTCTCCAGATTTTTTGTCCTGAAACTAATAATTAGAAAGATAATCAATCTTAATAAAAACAGTCTTGTTAATTGTTTCAGTATGTCAGACACGTCTAGCCACTAAACATTTTCTCCCCACATTTTCCCCTGACCCTTCATTCCTCTTCATTGAGAAAAATCCACAATCACCAAAATAACATTTCCCTGCTTACGTTTTACCACTCCCCAACATAATCAATTTGTATCATTAAAAAAAAAATAACCAGAATCGTTGAGAGTGTGAAAAATCGACGGAAACACAAGACGATTAATGAGAGAATATACAAATTTACGGTAAATTTGTTCCTCATCTACCTCTACAATTAATTCCTCATTAATAATTACTTTTATCATTAAATTACTAAAGTATGAATACGAAAATTGTCACTTCCGCATTCCGCGAGTCCCGCACAGGCTCACGGCCCAGGAAGCGAGATAATCCCTCGACTTATCTCTTATCAACTAAAAACTAAAATTAAATAAAAATATTTTTCCATATTTAATACGACAACGATATCACAACAACAATTTCTCAGTTAATAAATTCAGCAATTTTCATCATCAATTCTTCTGCAATTAGGGCTTGTATCGCATTAGACTGACATGTCAATTGAAGAATTAATCACTTGTTCATTAATCAATAATTTAAAAATACTTTTCTTATCATTAATTCAATTCACGATTGAATACTAATATTAATTATCAACTAATTAATCAATAATTCTCGAAAAAAAAAACATTAGAATCGCCAGTACTGATTTACCATCGAATTTCCCAACTCTGTCAACGATCGGTTGTAATGAAAAAAAACTTTCTCCTTTGAATAAATAATTTTAAATAAAATTTTGACTTCAATCAATTTTTGTAATTTAATTCTCTTAAGAACGATTAATTAAGTACGAGAATCACTAGTGAAACGTGACTAAGAATTGCCCCATTTTTAACTAAATTTATTCGTAATTAATTAATTAGTGAAGTAATCAGGAAGAGCAGATGACTGAACAACTATTTTTCTGATAATTTTTATAATAAAAAAATATTTGTTGCTAAACTCACTCATTGACGAAATAATTACAAAATTACCACTTTTTAATTAATGATAATTGATGGATTATCGTGAATTATTAATTCATTAAATTTGTTATGAATAAGAATTATTTCATCAACGACTGCAGCAAAAAAAGACAGAATACATTTTTTAAAAAGGAATAAATTCTCCACAAAAATTTAATAATTTTCTTCCCACGTCACTACTTAATTAATCATCCGTCACCTCAAGTGACTAACAATAAACTCCTGTCGGCATTTCACCCCCCTAATGACCCGAATAAATATTTTTGGACACTTCCCCCTCTCAAAATCCCCCAGATAATGACGTTTCGTTAATTAATAATTAATCATTGCTCTACTAAGGACGATGTGCATTAATTAATACCGAGATTCCTTAAGTCAATTGTTTCGCAAGCCACTGACATACCTAACTAGATAGAAACAACACGTAAGAGTACCTAGGTGCAAATGATTAATCAACAGAATCAATCAAAAGTAATTAAAAAACTTTTAAAAATTCATTTTGAATTTTTTCACTCTCAATCAATGATTTAAACTCAGTGAATGCTCCTCCTGTGCTCAACTACATTAGGCATTATTCTAAAATATTTATTAAATATTTATATTATTTATAGTTCATCAGAACCACCAGGGAACTGATGTCAATCATCTCAAAATCATACGATAAATTTTTGTTATTTTCGATCTCCTCTGTATAATAATCTCATGATCATACTTTTCCATTAAAAATCAATTTCAAGTGCTTGCACCTTAATCTCCATCGATCAGTAGTTTATGAACTATTATTCAACCGATACGTACAATTATTTGATAAAATAATCGTTCAAATCTCAATCTCATCGAAGGTTTCAGTGATTATTTCGGTAAAATGTTGGTCACTTAAGAGTTTTTTTACATTTCCATCAAAGTTTCATGGTATTGTGGACAGTTTGATGTCTAATTAAATCATTAGTGGTCATTTTTCAAGTAAAAATTATGACTTTTTCATGAAACTCTGTGGGAAATGTCAATTCTCCCATTTTTCTCAATCAGTTGATTGATAAATCAATTAATTAATCAATTGATTTAGCAATTCTACCACTCAATTGATCAATTCATCAATTATTCCATCAATAAATGGATTAATCAATTGGTAAATTGATTTATTCATTGAGAGTTCATCATTTACAAAATGAAATTATCAATGGATTGAAAGAATAGGTAAATAACTGAAGATAAGACCTTGATTACGTTCGAGGTTTTACCTGTGCATTGTCCATGACGTTTGTGCTCCATGGGGGTAATAATCGACGTGACAGACGTCGACACAACGCACGAACGCATGTGACAGTCGATTGTGATTTTTCGGCGTTCGATTTATCATCAGAGGGGGATGATATTGCTCATTAGGGGGTGACAAGGCGATTTGGATTGAAGTCCTTATTGACGAATGAGAAACCCTTGAATTCGTCTTGATTCACTGAGTTTAGGATAGACTGGTGGACTGGCGTGAGGACTGGCTCTTCTTTCGTGAATTCAGCGTCAAAATTCATCGCGTCTTTCTCATTATTCTGAAACGAAAATTAATAATTGATTACATTACAGTGTCTAATATTAATAAAGGAGATAATTTTGTGGGAAAACAGGATAAATTGACGAAATTGAGGACGGAAGACGTTTCGAGAGAAATTCCAGGAGCAAGAAAACAATTTTTCAGTTGATTATTTCATCAATTCTAATCTGATCTTCTGAAATTAGGGCTCGTATTGTAGTAGAATGACATGTTTGTTAAAGAATTGGTCACTTGTTCACTAGAGAGTAATTTAAAAGTAGTTTTCTTATTATTAAGTCAATTCAAGGTTGAATATTAATATCTCTATATTATAAAAATCCAAATCGACTTCTGGTGATAAAAATTTGGCACTCGAAAGTAAGATTTCAAAATTAATCCAAGGGTCAAAATAAAGGTCATGAGGGTCAGAATAAGGGTCATGAGGGTTAGAATAATGGTCCAAGTAAGAGTGAGAAAGGTCAGATTAAGGGTTCAAAGAACGATAACAAGGGTCAGATTAAGGGTCGCAAGGGTCAGATTAAGGGTCACAAGGGTCAGAGGAAGGGTTCAAAAAAGGGTCATGAGGATCAAAATAATAGTCATAAGGATCAGAATAAGGGTCACGAGCATCAGTATAAGGGTCACGAGAGTCAGATTAAGGGTCAGAATGAGGCTGATGAGGTTCAGAGTCAGGGTCATGAGGATCAGAATGAGGGTCACGAGGGTCAGATTAAGGGTCATGAGGATCAGAATAAGGTTCAGAATAGTAGTCAGATTAAGGCTCAGATTAAGGGTCACGAGGGGTACAATGAGGGTAACGAGATAATTCCCAAAAACAACAAAGCCCTCAAATCCCCAATAATTCCCTCAAATTCGCATAATAAAAACTAAAAAATAATTTTAAATAAAAAAAATAATTACTATTTTTGGTTTGAAGGGTGGTTTGACCCTCCTCGCCTCGAGTGCCCTCCAGTCCATGAATTGGAAGAAAGGATGTGATTTGATGGCGTTCTCCCCTCCATTGGCAATAACACACCCCAGACGTCTCGCTGGATTTTTCGTCATGAATCCCTTGAGGATCGAGACAGCCTCCTTACTCAGCCACACTGGGTACAGGACGTCGTCGTGGAGTATGGACTCGAAGAGATCGTCCTCGTTATCGGCCTCGAAGGGTGGCTGTCCAGCCATCATCTCGTACATGAGGACCCCCAAGGCCCACCAATCCACGGAGGCCCCATAGTCCAACTCCTGGAGGATCTCCGGGGCAATGTAATCGGGTGTACCACAGAATGTGGTCGTTGTCTGGCCCTCGACGATGCCCTCCTTGCACATTCCGAAGTCAGCGAGTTTGCAGTGGCCCTCGCGATCCAGTAATATGTTGTCCAGCTTCAGGTCACGGTAGATGACTCCGTGCTGGTGGAGGAATTGGAGGGCCAACGTCACCTCGGCTGCGTAAAATCGAGCTCGAGTCTCGTCGAATTTACGGGCTTTTTGGATTTGAAACATGAGATCACCTGGAAATCCATGAATTTTTGGTGGTTAATTGTTTAAACCAAGAGGTGGAATATTTTACAGAGATTGTTTCGTTGCGCTAGTCAAAAGTTTTCCTTCTAATTAGTGTACACTTCTTGAGAAAATTTATTACATGAGTTTCACTCAAATTTCAAGGAATTTTGTCATTGAAATTTCAATATTTTGGGGACAAATCGAAGAAAATGAAAATTAAAGATGGAGGGAAATATATTCTTAAGTTTTCAAGTAATTTAAAATTCAGCGAAATTTGCTAATGACAATTCAAATGAGTTCTTGGCTGCGTAAAATCGAGCTCGGGTCTCGTCGAATTCACGGGCTTTTTGGATTTGAAACATGAGATCACCTGGAAATCCACGAATTTTTGGTGGTTAATTGTTTAAACCAAGAGGTAGAATATTTTACGGAGATTGTTTCGTTACGCTAGTCAAAAGTTTTCCTTCAAACTAGTGTACACTTCTTGAGAAAATTTATTACATGAGTTTCACTCAAATTTCAAGGAATTTTGTCATTGAAATTTCAATATTTTGGGGACAAATCGAAGAAAATGAAAATTAAAGATTGAGGGAAATATATTCTTAAATTTTCAAGTAATTCAAAATTCTGCGAAATTTGCTAATGAAAAGTCAAATAAGTTCGTTAATTCCTCGAAATTTCAGCGAAACTGCTAAAAAATTTTAACAGAGTATTCTGGACAGTGTAAGGCAAATTAAATCATTGGGTTAGGATAAAAAATTGAGGCTTCAAATTCAATCTGAGGAATATCTCCGAATCGAAGGGAGATAACGAAATTTTCATAATAACCTTTTTTATCGAGCGAATTGAGAGCTACAAAAAAGGTTCTAACAAAAATTTTGCTATCTCCCTTACATTCCGAGATATTCATTGAAAACTGAATTAATACTTTTGAAAATCTTATGTCAAGACCTTTGAAATCGTAAAATAACGCACTATTTTGTTGGATCTAAGTGAATAACTCATAGTAATGACAATACCTCCATTAACATATTCCATAACGAAAAACAATCTTTCAGGTGTCTGGAAGCAACTGTGAAGTGCAGTGAGGAACGGATGCCTGGCGGCAAGTGCCAGAATCCTTTTTTCTGTCATTGTGCAGTCGACGTCGTCGTCCTGAATTATCACATCCTTCTTCAGGACTTTGACAGCGAAAACCTCGTCAGGATTTCCCTTGCGCTCAGCCAGCATAACTTTTCCGAAACTGCCCTTCCCCAGGACTTTGATAAAATTAAAATCATCGAGGGAGAACTTTCTGGTCTCGTTCTCGTCCTCTCGGGGGGTCAGATCGATCAACGAGGCTTGCTCGTTGGATTGTCCAGTGCCGTCAGTGTTCCCTGATTGTGAGGATTGCTTGCCAGGGCCTGAGGTGTGCGAAGAACTACTTGAGGAGCTGGGCTTGTAATTGATCCTTGGGGCTTTGGACTGTTGATCTGGGGAGATGTTCAAAGTACTCAGGATCTCCGCCATTGCTTTTGTGTCGATGCCACAGTTGTTGGCTACGTTCTTCTGGCATCTCTTGTGGACGTTTAAATCACAAACTGAAAGGGAGAAGATAATTGTGGATTTTTTGTGGAAAAAATTGGTGAAATATCTCAGTCGAGAATAAGATCTTTAAAAAGTTATGTGTATTTTCGGATATGTAACATGTAACATGAGACGACATCTTCGTTACATTTGAAACTTTACAACAAAACCATTGTAATGTTAGAAAAAAATTGTAATATTTTGGAGAATTTTTTAATCACACTTTTATCACATAACAATGGCAGATGACTACATACCACTCTTTTGAAAATTGAGATAATTTGCCACAGCGAATCAGATATTTGTAATTTCCACTTTTTTCCACTCATTCTGAATCTCAATTAAAAACGCTCTTTGAAAAGGTTCAGAATTTTTTCTCTTTTTTTATCATTCTATCATAATTTTTGGAAATTTCTACATGATGTCCTCCTCAATTGACAGTTTTGGACTACGAAAGATGAAAAAATCCAGATAACATTCGAAAATAGTACACCCGGGCCTTAATTAAAAATACAAGTGAGCCGTAGAATTCTCATCTTCCTGCTGTTGAGGAATTCAGCATTCCACTCAATTTTCAGTGGAGTTGAAAATTTTCTGATTTTTAGATTTCGTGAATTGCTAAATCAATTGATGAATCAATTTCTACATCAATTACATCTCTCAATCGATTAATTCCTTAATTACTCCACCAAGAAATGAATAATCACTCATTAGAGACAGTAATCAAAATAAAAAAATCAATGTTTTATGTTCACCCATTCACTAATAAATTAACGATCTGGTAGAAATTTTAGAATTCAATTCTCGAAAAGTCTCAGACTGATGTCAGCCGTTAAATGCCACCACACCCTCAAATAAAAAAATTTAAAAAATCTTATTACCTTTACACTGAAGTCCCTGTCGAATTAATCCATACAAGAGCGATCCACAGTGATCGCAGAATGTGAAACGCTTGAAGGTGTGGACCTCAAACCGATGTGGTACATTAACACTGAATCTTTGTCCCTGTGTTCCTTCATTAGACTGCAACATAGTTTTCTTCTCCTGATTCGTCCCACCGTGATTATTTTTTCAAACGACAAAACGAGAAAAAAAGAAAAGTACGAAGCAGATAAAACAAAAGCATCAACATCGAGTGGCCTCACGGACACGTGGCAGTATTACACAATTGCGATAACATAAAAAAAAACTATTGCATAAAAATAGCAATGAAAAATTGTGATAAATGGGGGAATAAGTTTTTTTATTCCATGACGTACCTCTTCCCTCATACCAGGACACTTTGTGACCACCAGTCTGTGACACCTCTTGTGAACAACGCACGTGCAAACTGTAAATATTTTTTTTTCATAATTATCGTGTGAAAGTTCAGGAAATTGTTATGATTAAAATAAAATTCTGGTACTTTGCACATTAAAAGCTGTTTCATGCCTTGTTAAATCGCCTCGGAAACTTCCCTGCGATGGTAATTTTCCAAAAATCGCTAATGATTATTTTAGTTTTCGATGAACGAAGAATAATAAGCGAAAGGAAATTGGAAAAGATTTAATTCTGGAGTAAAGTGGTGAATCAGAAATGTTTGTTCAGTATTCTGGAAATATCTCGAAAACTGAGGGGTTTATGGAAAAATGTCAGTAGATATTTTTTGTAGAGCATAAAATTCTCCCCAAAAATGCTCTAGTGAATTTTTGCCTTAGACCTTATCCTTATCCAGATAATTACAGAATTAGAAAAACAATTATTCTTTAAAAGAGAAATATCAGAAAATTTTTGTTGTGAATCATAAAATTCTGAGCAAAAAATGTCTTTTGACATGAATTGAAAATAAAATTCTCCACATGTCGTTTCTCAAATATCTCAGAAACCACTGGGTTTATCGAAAAACATCAAAAATCATTTTTGTAGCCCATAAAATTCTCTGCAAAAAAGCTATTCTGACATTTTCCCCTAAACCCCTCCCCTCCAGCTCTTTACTCCCGAATCAATGCGCCTTCGACCATTACAAAACAAAATAAATAAACCTTGCACCTCCTAAAAGAAAAAAAAATGTATAAGAAAATTCAAAATATATTAATGATCCTGTGAAAGCTTAGTAAGTGTTAATAAAACCGGACAAATTAAAGTGCCGAATTAATAAAATGACAAGTAAAAAGATAAATAATTCCCAAGAGCCATCTCCATACGCAGAAAATCATAAACAGAGAATTAACGATAAAGATCAAACATCTCAGGCTGAAGAATTAAGGAAAAAAATAAATAAATAATTCGGTTAATAACATGACTTTTGTGTCTTCCTCACCTTGACACTGATAGCCTTGCTTTCCGACGCCCCTGAAATACAACAGACAAAGCACGTCACATTATCTCCGTGATATCCCATCGAAAAAAAAACAAATTGTTCGTTTTTTCTTCTCTCCAACCATTTGGGAGGGAAATAAATACTTGAGGCACTGACGACTATCTCAATCCACTGTTTATCCTCGCTGATTTATTCATCTGTACCCAATTAATTCGAGATAACCCAAAGCGTGCAAATGGAGACGATTATAGGAGTCTCGAGATTTTAGACACAATCAGAAGTAATCCACATGCAGTTGTCCCCAGAATTTATTTTTGTTTGACTAAGTTTGGACAGAAGTGGCGAAGAACAGGTGGAGATGGGTCAAAGAATGAGAACATTCTCATAAAGAATTTCATTGAAGAAATTAAATATCTAAATTAATTATTTTTTATGTAATTGATTACAGAAAATGTGTCTTGACAATTTGTTTATCAATTGGCTAGCTCAGGAGATGAATGGGAGGTGGAGAAACCAGATTATTTGTTTCATGTTTGAAAGAATTACTAATTATTTTGGGAATATCGTTTAAATTATTGGCTTCAATGGAATTTTCTGGAGGTCTTGACATTTTTTGGTGAAACCATTCGTTCATCAGTTGAGTAAATGAACGTTTATAAAATTAATGAATTTGTTTTGCCATTTCAGGCCCGGTTGTACTATCTTTCGAACGTTATCTCGATGTTTTTTTTCATCTTTCGTCATCTGAAATTGTCAATTAAGTCCTGCATCATGCAGAAGTTTTGAAAAATTATGAATGAATAATCAAAAACAAGTAGAAAAAATTCTTAATTTTTTCAAAGAGCATTTTTAAGTTATATTCAGAATAAGTTGAGTAACAGGAAATTGAAAAATGTATCTGATTTACGGTGGCAAATGGCGATCTGTCACCCAATATCATGCAGGGGGAAGACTGATTTCGTAAATATTTTGGAGAATTTTTTAATCACACTTTTATCACATAAAAATGGCAGATGACTACATACCACTGTTTTGAAAATTGAGATACCTAGCTGTCACTTCCCATGAGGAGTTAGTGTTTTGTTATCCACCATGGAAAATGACAGCTAATAGATAATTTGCCACAGCGAATCAGATATTTGTAATTTCCACTTTTTTCAACTCATTCTGAATCTCAATTAAAAACGCTCTTTGAAAAAGTTCAGAATTTTTTCTATTTTTTTTATCATTCTATCAAATTTTTGGGAATTTCTACATGATGTACCACTCAATTGACAATTTTGATTACGAAAGAAAAAAAAAATCCAGATAACATTCGAAAGATAGTACACCCGGGCCTTCAATAAAGAATTCTACATTCTTTAGATTGTAATTTTTTCTGAAAATAGTGAAAGAAGGATTCTAACTTTTTCTCACAAAGTTAATCGTTCACGAGTTTTTTCGTAAAGACCTTTCTCAGCTACAGAAAAGGCCTTTCAATATTTTTTTACAAAAACACTAGTTCACGAGATAAATAAAAAACTGAGAAACTTATCCATTGGTTTTACATTTGATCGAACAAAATTATAAACTATCCTGTGAATATCTCTATAACTGCTGGCTTTATCGAAAAATGCCCAAAGACGTTCTTTAAAAATAGACTAATTTAGCATTTCTGTGAATATTTCTGAAATTAATGAAATCATTTAAAAACTTCAACAGTATTTTTACAGCTCAAAAAATTCTCTACAAACAATTGTTCACACATGTTCTTCCAAAGTCACTCGTAAACGAAATCCATCAATAATCAAGATACTCATTAACTCATTGATTTTACGTTCTAACACAAATTTGATGTTCACTATTTCGTAAATATGTGCTAAACTACTGAATCCATCCAAAAATCCCTGACATGTTTTATAAATTATCAAATTCGCTACAAAAATTCAAACATATTTTTGTTTTCCAAAATGTTTTCTTCCTCTCAAAGATATCACCAAACTCAAGAAACCACAATAATTATTTGCCTCATCTCCTGTTCTGCACCACTTCATCTCTCATATATTTTCCCAATTATTAATTATTAATTAATTGACCCACAGAAAACGTGCGAGAGATCCTCAACTCTGCCCCCAAGCGGTGCACCCTAGTAATCCTCTTTATGGTAATAAATACTCAAAACCTTCGGATTAATATAAAAATGAAGGGAAAAATTTCAAACCAAAATGCCCACGTGTGCCCAAAAGCTCCCACAAATACCCACCAAATAAATTCACGGCAGTGTGAGCAGAATGTTGGTTGCCTGAGGAAAGTGGCCATAAATTTGTGCCCATTGACCTGATGAACCCTCCTACGCATAGCACCCCTACGTCGATTAAATCCCTGTCCACGCTCGGTGAATCCACGTGGCTCCATACTCCCTGTCACAGCCCCACTGTCCTTTCCACCACCTGATCCAACACTCTCGCCTACTGCATCTGCACTGCAGCCAGCTTGCTGATCTGAAATATGGCAGGAGAAAATTAATTGAGACATTACAATGTGAGAAAAAAATCAACTGGAAAATCGTGAATTTTCACATTTCATTGAAATTTCAGTAGAAGAATTCCCCAATTGACTTGAATTTTTATTGAAAACATGAATTTTCTGTATGAAATTATGTTGAAGTTTCAATTCATTGAAATTTAAGAGAAGTTTCCTGTTTTCTATTGATTTTCGTAATAATTTTAATGAAATCTACAGTTTCATTACGATCTATCAATTGATTAGTTCATTTGGTGATGGAATAATTAATAAATTGGTCAATTGGGAGACAGGATTGATTAATCAATCAAAAAGTTAATTTATGTATTGACTCATGCGGAAAATAGTAGAGTTTTTTATTTCACTGATAATTCAATGGAAGTATAAATTTTTTAAGAGCAGTAGGACGAAAATTTCCCAATTTATTTGAATTTTCAATCAGAACATGAATATTCAGTATAAAATTATGCTGAAGTCTCAATTTATTGAACTTTGAAGAATTTATTTAACTGAATTTTCCTAATTTCTATTGATTTTCGTAGAACAATTTAAATGAAATCTAGTTTAGTTACGATCTATCAATCGATTAATTCATTTATTGATGAAATAGTTAATAAATTGGTCCATTGGGAAACAGAATTGATAACTAAATTAATTCATGAAAAAGTTAATTTATGTATTGGGTCATTCGGAAAATAATTTTTTTTATTCAATGTTTTTTATTTCAATGATAAATCAATGGAAGTATAAATTTTTAAAGAGCAGTAGGACGAAAATTTCCCAATTTACTTGAATTTTTTATTAGAACATGAATATTCAGTATAAAATTATGCTGAAGTTTCAATTTCTTGAAATTTCAAGAATTTATTTAACAGAATTTACCTGATTTTTATTGATTTTCATGGAATAATTGAAATGAAATGAAATGGAATAATTGAAATTCACAGTTTTCACTGCATTCCAGGTAAATTATAAAACGTAATCGAGGTATTATCTCCAGTTATTTTACTATTTCTTAAAAACCATACACCAATTTATTCTTGTAAATGCTGCATTCACAAGAAATTAATCAATCTATCATAATCATAAATAAATTGATCAATTGAGAAATAGGATTGATAAATGAATTCATCAATTAGTTAATTTATGGATTAACTAATTCATAGAATAATTAAATTTCAAACTTAACTGAAAATCCCAAATAATTCTAATTTTTTAAAAAGTAGGCGGACGAAAATTTCCAAATTTACTTGAACGTTCACTCAAAAAATTAATGTTCAATATCAAACAATGATGACTTTCCAATTAATTGGAAATTCGAGGATACCTGTACTTGCATTTTCCTGATGTTTATCAATTTTCATGGAATAATAGAACTGAAATGAACATTTCTAATTGATTTTCCCATCAAATTCTGAATTTTCAATGATGAATTTTCTTGAAATTCAATTGAAACTTATTTTTGTCTAAAAAAAGTCCTTTTACATTCTCTCCTAGACCCCCTAGTATCCAAAATATTCTCAAATGAATGAAGAAAATATTCTTGCAGTCATTGCCGTGAAAAAATTTCCAGAAAGAGTCATGAAAAATCACATAAGAATCAAAGTACCTTGGTTGCTCCATTTCAGGTCTATCTGGACCCTCAGTTTCCCATGTGGCTCGAGGTCGATCTAAAATTAAATCCTCCACATTAGCTTCCGTAGAGATAAGAAATCACGAAAAACACACGAGAAATAATTTAATAAACCACTGTCCCCCCAATTCAGTCTCACCACTGTCTGTTTCCTATACAAAAATGCATTTTTCACTACAGTCTCGTGATGAATGTCCACGAGTCTCTTGAAACACTTGACGCACCCGTAATTCCTATGCGTGTGCAGCATTTTGTCAAAGAAATCTGAATAAAAACGAGGAAATATAAAGACTAAGGCAAAGACTCCCTTCTAATTATGCAAATATCTCGCTAACGAGTGGTTTTAGGAAAAATTGTCATAACACATTTTTTGTAGCTGAGAAAATTCCTCACAAAAAAGTTTCTCTGCAATTGTCTCCTAAAACCATTCGTTAAGAAGTTATTACGGTCTAAAAAATCCAAAAAAATTTCCAGACGAGACTCTCATAAGTAGAACGCAATTAACCGACGAATTTTTCAACGAAACCGCACGTAAGACGAATAAAAACTGAGTGAGTAATGCCCCAAGACTGTAGACACATCCTACAGTTTAATTAGGCCTCAAAATCCCTGTGTACACTTCGAGATAACGTCAGGGAAATCTCAAAACGTCTTATCTTGCTCTCGTGGACATCTGTCGTTATCAATGCGTCAATTAGTGACTCATCTCCATAACGATTAGCTCTACGAAAAAATGTCACAAAACATTTTTTGTGCAGAATTTCATCTTCAACAAAAAATGTTTTCTGATGATTTTTCGTGATTGAAAGTGATTCGTTACGGAGATAATTACGAAATTAGAAAGATGAATTTCGTGTTTCTGGCTCATGTGGAGTTGAAAATCCCTGTGTACACCTTGAGATAACGTCGTACGAACATGAGACTGTCTTATCCCTACTCTCGTGGACATCTGGTCGTTATCAGTTCCCTATCACTTGGTTTACGTCAGTTATGTCATCTCTACGAATGAGTGGAGGAGTGGCAAAGTGAATGGATAAAGTCTGTTGGGGCAGTTCATGACCAGTTGGTGACGTGTGAGGGTCTTCCGGAAGTCATCGAATGTTTTTTTTGTGTTTTTAGATATTTGTAGAAATGAAAATAATGTGAAATTGGGGAGGAGTAAGAGAATTGTGAAGGATTGAAACGTGGCAGGAGTGAATTTTGACGTGAAAGGCAATGTCAAGAAAAATTGGTACAATTCAGAAAGCTTTGTCTCTTTGTTTTTAGTTGAGGGTCAAATGACCCTCAATTGGAAAAGTCCTTGAGGGCCATTTGACCTTCAAGACTATTTGCGCCTTAAACTTAAACTTTTTCCATGTTCTGGAGGGTCACCTCCCGCCCATTTGACCCACAATTTCGAACGTCCTTGAACGTTTGATGACCCTTAAGACCGTTTGCCCCTCAAGTATAAACGTCCTTAAGGGTCATTTAACCCTTGACCATAGACGGTCTCAAGTATTGTGATGGTCAAGTCCTATTGACCTTCAACTCTAAACGTACTTGAAGGTCGTTTGACTCTCAAGACCTTTCCACCACTTTCAACGTCCTTACGGGTGTTTTGACCCTTAAAACCATTTAACCTTTAATTACAAACGTCCTTGCGGCCATTATACCCTCAAGACCACTTGACCTTGAATTCGTATTGTCAATAATGGTCGTTTGACCCTCAGAACCTTCAGATCCTCACCCTCAAATGTACTTGAAGGTCGTTTGACTCTTAAAACCGTTTAACCCTCAATCACAAACCTCCACAAGGGTCGTTTGACCCCCAACTAGACAAAAAAATCCTGAATTGTACTGAACACTCATTTCTCATGTGTTTCATTTTGCCCCCTTCGCCCCCCGTTGAGTGAAATTTTACAACTGCAATAAACTATTAATAAAATTACCCAAAAGTCAGCGGTTTCATCTTCACGTCTCACAAGCTCTTCAAATGGAATTCTACAATTAGCAACAAAGTCATCGGGTGGTAGTGCAGCATCGTGAAATACAGTGAGTCCAAGCATAACAGCAGCTTGAACATCATGAGTGAAACACTCGTTCCAAACGGGATCGAAGGTTTTTGGCTTTATTGATGTGCGATTGAGACGATTTTGGTCGACATCGAGGAGCACGTAGGGGTCGATTATAGGTGGTGCATCCTGCCAAAATTTTCGGTGCTTGTCAGTCGCCCTCAGACCCGCTGCCTCGCATATCTTCACTTTTACTGTGCCCGTGAACATCTTTGCGATTAACTCCTGGAAATGAACGTTAGTGTGGTTAAATCGTGATGAAAAAATTATTGGAGAGTTGTTTAGTCATCCGGGGAGAATGAGGAAGTGTTTGCAGGGAACTGTTGCATGAAGAATGGTAATAAAAAATTACTTGGGGCTGATTCATTGGGATAACTTTCGAATTTTTCATTGCAGTGAGAAAAAAAATGTTCTTGAGAAGTACTTTTATCAGGAGAGTTGAAGCTCGAAAATTTTTAAGAGAAAAATGTATTACACTGGGAAAAAACAAGTGGGAAATTGCTCTCCTCACAACATAGTCAATATAGTTTTGCTAATAGATGATCAAAAATCCGTTTATCATCGAGATCAAGACCCTCATCTCGTAAATAGGGTGAACAAGCCAATTGCTGGACAGTTAAGGGAAATTCGAGTTTCCAGGTAGGATCTAAAATAAAAGAATCACCTAAATTGGGAGATGATGGCTTCCATACCTTTAAGAATGTGTTAATTAGCAGAAAAAAATTATTTGAAGTGAAAATGACAGAACAAAGAATAATTAAATTAAGAAATCGTTGAATGCAGCCGAAACCCTTAATTTCTGGACGACAGGCTCATGGTTTTTTAAACTATTTTTTAGAAAAAAAAAATTGATTACATGATTATCCACGAGCAATATTATTGATAGGTGAAATCATCAGCACAATTTTCGTTTTATTTATGGAATATTCAATGCAAGTTGAAATCGTCCAGAAACTGACCTGTTTAGCCTACTTTTGTTCAACAATGTTTTTATTCAAAGAAAAAACAGACAGTATTTACATATGTACATATCTTAAAAGCTAGTATCAACAAACTTTTACGAATTGTATTGTTTATAGTATAATATATAAACTTCTGGTCCATTAGTAACTCTCGAGTTGATTTTGTATTTTGGATTTGTTTTCGGATAGTATTGTATTCAGTTTTTGAAATGCAATTACGTCTGCTATAAGTAGAATTTTTTGTGGGAAAAAAAGTGTCCAATTTTCTCTAGATGTAAGAAAAAAAAGCCCTATAAATGGACGAGCTACTTTTGGACAGAAAATTACGCAAAAAAATGCTGAAATGTGAATTGTTGCTTTAAATTTTCACTAAATGTTGTGATTCGTAACCTCTGAATGACGATTTTCAAAAAATAAATGCTTGTCTCAAGTAAATGAATATTTAGCAAAAATAATTATTTTTCTCAGAATAGTCACCCGATGTGAAAAATTTGGGAAATGTAATTCATTAATTACTTGTCGTATTTCTTCGATATTACAAAGGAAATAGGGGAGGGTGGGGTAAAATGGACACTTTATCCTTTTTTAAAATTATTCATACCTCAGAAACAAATTGATCAATTGAGCTCAGTTTAGGCTCGTCACAAAGGGAAAGAATTGTTCTTTGTATTGAAAAAAAATGATTAAATTTTATCAACATTCCAACCCGCCCTCATTAACATTTAAAACAACTTCCCTATCCCGGGAAGTTAAAAAAGTCAAGTGTCCGTTTTACCCCAACCTCTGCGTAAAAAATTTTCAAAATGTAATTAATCAATTACTTATCGTGGGTCTTCGCTGCTGACTCTAATATTTGTTTCGTTGGTTCTAACCCACCAGTGAAATTTTAAAGAAAAAATAACCTGTTGTCACAAGGAATTGAATTCTCCACAAAAACCAAGTTACCCCCTCCCGAGCAGCCCCTTCCCTTAAAAAAAATGCTCTTACGTCAGCTCTTATGTTAACCCGTTGTTGCTCCTGGTGTCGGTCTCCGTCGTCCCTCTATTATCACTGTGCAATCCAAAAATAAATAAACTCATAAATACCACAATAATCACTGACCACGTCCCCCCTCCCCAGAGCCACTCGTAACCCCCGAAAACCCCTAGAAGACCCCCGAAGCACCCCTAGACCCCCAAGACTCCCCGACCCCTTCCTCCTCGCCCCGAGATGCTCTCCCCGAAGGAATCATCCTTCCCATCCTCACCTCCACAACCGAGAGCCCCACGATCTCCACAACCCCGCGATCATTCCCATTACCTCAACAATTCCCTGAATCCTCACACGTTCATCCAACTCCGTCCACTCCGTTATACATAAACACTTTGACCAGACCAGCAGAACGTACATGACAGAAAAGGAAACGGAAGCGCGAGCGCAGAGTGAAACTCCACGAGTGCGAGAGAGAGGAGAACGACGAGAGGGAAGAGGAGAGGGCCTTGGCCGAGTGTACGATTTTTATTTCCATTACGAGTGACTCTGACTCTTCCCAATTACATCAACACTATTTCCCCGTCTCAAGACCCTCATTTAACCCCTAAAAACAACTAAAACCCTCGGAAAATCATTTTTTTTTGTTGCAACAAACACTCGCTAATCCTGCCAACAATTGATATTAAATTGACATACACGACGACTATCGGAGAAATTCTCACGCTGCGACGACCACTGACAGCCATTAATATCAACCGATTTATTTGTACTTTGTTTATTCAACTAAACTGCTAGTTGGTGCGGATTTTTTTATTATTATTCAACCACTTTTTTCACGGTTTTTGAGGGACTTTTTTTCTTTTGGTAATTCGATTGGTGGGGCTTGTGCGCGCGGCGAGCGCCCGAGAGTTGCCCCTTTAACTGAGAGAGAACATCTCCCCTCCCCTTTCACCTCGCTCGATTGGTCCGCGGGCGCGGGCTGCTATAGGGGGAGAGGAGGGGGGTTTGACGTGCTGTGTGTGTGGGGAGTCGATTGTGTTGGGCTGTGGCGCTTTCGGGTGTGCGCACTTCGCGATTGGGCGCGCGGGGTGGGGGGTCTCTCTATCTTTGTTGGGGCTATTTTTGAGGGATCGCTCTGTCGGTTAGAGGNGAGGGGGAAGAGCACTTTTGGGAATTTTAAGGGGAGGGGGAGAAAAATTTTTGGGGGAAATTTTGAGATGCGAAAATTTTTTTAACGAGTCGTGATGGTTTGAAGAGGCTTTAAGAATTATTTTTTGAAAGGTATTGGCTTTTGTTGACGGGGAAGGGGGGATAAAATGAACACTTTTGAGAATTTTTAGGGGGAGGGTGGGTTGGGGGCTGAAGGATTTTTGGGGGAAATTTTGAGGTGCGAATTTTTTTTTAACGAATCGTGATGGTTTGGAGACGTTTTTAGAATTATGGGTGCACTTTTGGAAGGTGTTGGCTTCTTTTGACGGGGAGGGGAGGGGGAAGAGCACTTTTGGGAATTTTAAGGGGAGGGGGAGAAAAATTTTTGGGGGAAATTTTGAGATGCGAAAATTTTTTTAACGAGTCGTGATGGTTTGAAGAGGCTTTAAGAATTATTTTTTGAAAGGTATTGGCTTTTGTTGACGGGGAAGGGGGGATAAAATGAACACTTTTGAGAATTTTTAGGGGGAGGGTGGGTTGGGGGCTGAAGGATTTTTGGGGGAAATTTTGAGGTGCGAATTTTTTTTTAACGAATCGTGATGTCTTGGAGAGTTTTTTAGAATTATGGGCGCACTGTTGAAAGGTATTGGCTGCTGTTGACGGGGAAGGGGGGTAAAATGAACACTTTTGAGAATTTTTAGGGGGAGGGTGGGTTGGGGGCTGAAGGATTTTTGGGGGAAATTTTGAGGTGCGAAATTTTTTTTAACGAATCGTGATGTCTTGGAGAGGTTTTTAGAATTATGGGTGCACTTTTGGAAGGTGTTGGCTTCTTTTGAGAGGAAAGGGGGGGGGAAGAGCACTTTTGGGAATTTTAGGGGGAGGGGGAGAAAAATTTTTGGGGGAAATTTTGAGATGCGAAAAATTTTTTAACGAGTCGTGATGGTTTGAAGAGATTTTAGGAATTATGCGTACACTTTTGAGGGGGGTAAAATTGACACTTTTGAGAATTTTTAGGGAGGGGGGCGGAAGGATTTTTTTGGAACCGTGGTATTTTGGAAAGGTTTTCGGAATTAACACATGCGCACAATTTAAAAAAAATAACATGAAAACGGCTGCAATAGAGATAAATTCTATAGATTTTTTTCCACAACGAAGAAGTTCACTCAAATTTATGTCAAACTTTTTTATTATTAGCTCATTAAATTATCTTAAAAATTCCCGTTCGACTTTTTTTACCCCTTTCAAAAGGGGGATTCAAATGGAAAAGAAACATTTACGTAAAACAATTGCTCCCCTCACCCCCTAGAGTGTTCTTTTATATTTCCACAACGGAAAGGTTCTCTGGAATTCATGTAAAAACCTTTTTTGTATCTGATTAAATTATTTACAAAAATCCCTTTTGATAGTTCTGTTTTACCCTTTCCAAAGGGAGATTCAAATGAAAAAAAAAAACATCTAGGGGAGCGAAATAACTCCGTCGGTGATGCAGGGATTCACCAATCTACCCGAATTGGAGTGGGGGAAGACTCGAAGACATCATCAGCTGATTTTTGGAGCAGGAGGACGCAGGGGAAGATGGCGAAACTCCGGCACGCCGTGTGGGAGCTATCATCGAATTTCTCGTCGAATCGATACTTTTCAAAATTACTCTCGTGAGTTTAATTACTAATATTTGTGTTCGTATTTGATCGGAGTTGTGGGTTTGTTGTGAACTTCGTGGTGACATGTCTTCATTTCATGACGCAATGTTAAACAATGTTTGAAATCGGGGTGAAATGGCTTTGAATGTCCAATCAGAATTATTAATTAATTGAGATGTGCTATTGAATCAGAAAAATTCGACATTTTTTAGAAAGATTTGTCTCGAAATTTTGGGATTTCAGAGGGAATGTCGAGAAATTTCTCTAGGAAAAAATTAAATTCTTGGGAAACTGACTTTTGACATTTTCTCACAAAATGACCCATTAAGGGGTTAATTTAGGAATTCAAAACGACTGTGAAAACTGAGAAAAATCAAACTCTTTGTTGACTTCATTATTCAATTGGTCATTACGTATATGAATGAATTTTTTGTTGAGAATTCAATTTAAGAAAATTTTCTGTTAAACATTTAATTACCTTCAGAAAAGATGTGATGACATTTCTCCGAAGGAAGGAGGAATGGCTGTGAATGTTCAATGAGAATTATTAATTAATTGAGATGTGCTATTGAATCAGAAAAATTCGACATTTTTTAAAAAGATTTGTCTCGAAACGTTGGGATTTCAGAGGGAATGTCGAGAAATTTCTCTAGGAAAAACTTTAATTCTTGGGAAACTGACTTTTGACATTTTCTCACAAAATGACCCATTAAGGGGTTAATTTAGGAATTCAAAACGACTGTGAAAACTGAGAAAAATCAAACTCTTTGTTGACTTCATTATTCAATTGGTCATTACGTATATGAATGAATTTTTTGTTGAGAATTCAATTTAAGAAAATTTTCTGTTAAACATTTAATTACCTTCAGAATAGATGTGATGACATTTCTCCGAAGGAAGGAGGAATGGCTGTGAATGTTCAATGAGAATTATTAATTAATTGAGATGTGCTATTGAATCAGAAAAATTCGACATTTTTTAAAAAGATTTGTCTCGAAACGTTGGGATTTCAGAGGGAATGTCGAGAAATTTCTCTAGGAAAAACTTTAATTCTTGGGAAACTGACTTTTGACATTTTCTCACAAAATGACCCATTAAGGGGTTAATTTAGGAATTCAAAACGACTGTGAAAACTGAGAAAAATCAAACTCTTTGTTGACTTCATTATTCAATTGGTCATTACGTATATGAATGAATTTTTTGTTGAGAATTCAATTTAAGAAAATTTTCTGTTAAACATTTAATTACCTTCAGAAAAGATGTGATGACATTTCTCCGAAGGAAGGAGGAATGGCTGTGAATGTTCAATGAGAATTATTAATTAATTGAGATGTGCTATTGAATCAGAAAAATTCGACATTTTTTAAAAAGATTTGTCTCGAAATTTTGGGATTTCAGAGGGAATGTCGAGAAATTTCTCTAGGAAAAAATTAAATTCTTGGGAAACTGACTTTTGACATTTTCTCACAAAATGACCCATTAAGGGGTTAATTTAGGAATTCAAAACGACTGTGAAAACTGAGAAAAATCAAACTCTTTGTTGACTTCATTATTCAATTGGTCATTACGTATATGAATGAATTTTTTGTTGAGAATTCAATTTAAGAAAATTTTCTGTTAAACATTTAATTACCTTCAGAAAAGATGTGATGACATTTCTCCGAAGGAAGGAGGAATGGCTGTGAATGTTCAATGAGAATTATTAATTAATTGAGATGTGCTATTGAATCAGAAAAATTCGACATTTTTTAGAAAGATTTGTCTCGAAATTTTGGGATTTCAGAGGGAATGTCGAGAAATTTCTCTAGGGAGAAATTAAATTCTTGGGAAACTGACTTTTGACATTTTCTCACAAAATGACCCATTAAGGGGTTAATTTAGGAATTCAAAACGACTGTGAAAACTGAGAAAAATCAAACTCTTTGTTGACTTCATTATTCAATTGGTCATTACGTATATGAATGAATTTTTTGTTGAGAATTCAATTTAAGAAAATTTTCTGTTAAACATTTAATTACCTTCAGAATAGATGTGATGACATTTCTCCGAAGGAAGGAGGAATGGCTGTGAATGTTCAATGAGAATTATTAATTAATTGAGATGTGCTATTGAATCAGAAAAATTCGACATTTTTTAAAAAGATTTGTCTCGAAACGTTGGGATTTCAGAGGGAATGTCGAGAAATTTCTCTAGGAAAAACTTTAATTCTTGGGAAACTGACTTTTGACATTTTCTCACAAAATGACCCATTAAGGGGTTAATTTAGGAATTCAAAACGACTGTGAAAACTGAGAAAAATCAAACTCTTTGTTGACTTCATTATTCAATTGGTCATTACGTATATGAATGAATTTTTTGTTGAGAATTCAATTTAAGAAAATTTTCTGTTAAACATTTAATTACCTTCAGAATAGATGTGATGACATTTCTCCGAAGGAAGGAGGAATGGCTGTGAATGTTCAATGAGAATTATTAATTAATTGAGATGTGCTATTGAATCAGAAAAATTCGACATTTTTTTGAAAGATTTGTCTCGAAATTTTGGGATTTCAGAGGGAATGTCGAGAAATTTCTCTAGGGAGAAATTAAATTCTTGGGAAACTGACTTTTGACATTTTCTCACAAAATGACCCATTAAGGGGTTAATTTACTAATTCAAAACGACTGAAAACTGAGAAAAATTCTGTTGGATTTTTCGCTAAACTTCGCTAAATTCATTATTCAATTCATCATTAGGTATATGGATGATTTTTTTGTTGAGAATTCAATTTAAGAGAATTTTTTGTTATGCTTTTAATTACCTTCAGAAAAGATGTTATAACATTTCACCCGAGGATCACTGATTAATGAGTAACGTAAAAGGGAAATCGAGTGTAAATTTTCTTGATGACAAGTCGATAATTATCCCAGTAATAAATTATTCTAGGAGAATATCCCAAAAAATAATTTTTACGAAGAGTTTTTATGCAAAAAAATACCTCTTGACATTTATTTCCAGAATCACTCATCAAATTTTCACCGGAAGTCGATTTCATGCCTAAAAAAATACGGTTTCCGAAAGTTTAAACGATATTAATTACTTATTTATAATCGACGAATGTTGAAAAAAATAATAACTCTGTGCAAAATGTAATTTGAACGACGCTGAGTATTCACGATTTTTTTCAAATTTTTTTCAAGCAATTTAATTGGCAAATTTGATGATTGAAAATGGTTGACTCTATAGCGTGGTCTGTACCAAACAGTAAAAGATACTTGAATATCCTTAAGCTTGTGTGGTATTTAAAATTCTGTTGATCAGGTCATAAAACCGTTTCTTATCTTGTCTAAGAGAGGTTCTAACGAAAAAAGTCTTGAGATATCTCCCTGAAACCGTTTATTATCGAGAGAATTTAATTTCTCAAAAGATGCGAAATATCATTTTGTTATTTTCTGTTCTGTTTCACGCCATCATTTCTGAATCACCTTTTTTTTTCATTTGTTTGCAGACCTCCTTGGTGTCAACACTCATTGCAGAATGGAAATCTTCGTAAAGCAGCAACGAACGCAGCTGAGGACGTATCTGAAGATGCCCTGATCATCAGTGACAGTTGCGTGAGGAGACTGAAGGAGATATCTCAGGATGGCGCTTGTTTGCGAGTTACTGTCGAGGGTGGAGGATGCTCTGGGTTCCAGTACAAATTTGATTTGGATTCTACGGTTCACGACGATGACAAGTAATCAGATAATGATGATTCTAATCTCTTCAATGATGAAGAACAGATTTAATGAGCAGATGAGTTATCAAAATATGAAAATTCACTGTTTGAAATTTATCGAGTGACAGTTCCACTGAAATTTTAAGAAATTTCAACTTCGAAAATTCGCCATTTGATGAAATATCAATGGAAAGTGTAATTTTCAATTCAATTATTCCAGAAAATTAATAGAATCAGAAAAATTCAGGTGCATATGTTGAATTTTTAATTAATTGACAATTCAGCGTTATTTGGTACTGAACATTTATGTTTTTATTAATAATTACAGGAAGCTGGGAAATTCTCGTCTTTCTGCTTTCGAAAAATTTTGAATTCCATTAAATTTTCAGTGACGTTTCAAGTTTGAAATTTCATCGATTGATGAATTCATTTATTTATTAATCCTATTCTTAAATTGATAAATTTATCAATTACACCATCAACAAGTGAATTAATCAGTTGATAAATTGATTAATTCCTTGAGAATTCAGTAGTTACAAAAATGAAATTGTCAATTAATTGAAAACTCAAAATAAATTGCAAATTTCAATTTTATTTTATATAAATTAATAGAAATCAGGGGAATTCAGGAACAATGACTGAACATTTGTTTGGATTGAAAATTCAAATAAGTTGGAGAATTCTTGTCTTTCCGCTGCTCAAAAATTTAGAATTCCACTAAATTTTCAGTGAAATCTGAAATTTCATAATTTTTTTTCTCCTCCGATATAAATCAACGTCTATCTCCTAAAAATGTCGACTAAACTGCATAAAATCCCACTTTTCCCTAACAGTTTTCGAATTTGAAGATTTCACCAGTTATGAAATAATCTCAGAATTGAGTAATTCGGAAAATATCAATAGACTTTTCCCCAGACCCACTCGTTCCCCAGACATTACATAATTCCTGAATTCATCTTCTGTTCTTCATCACTCTTTCACAATTCAGTAACGAAACGGTAACACAGTTCAAGTCGATTTTGACTATTGGTCCGTTTTTAATCAATATCTCGGAATCTAAGGCAAATAGCAAAATGTTTATTATCACCTTTTTTGTAGCTCTTCATTCGCTCTACAAAAAAGGTTATTATGAAAATTTCGCCATCTCGCTTAGATTCAAAGATATTCTTTGAAAACAGCTGAGGGCGACCGAGCCAAGTCGACTACAACATTTAAAAAAATATATACAATCAATTAATGTGAATGGGTCATTCCAGAGTTTTCCAAAAGGACGGAGCCAAGATCATAATAGACTCCACCTCCCTGGAGTACGTGAAAGGCTCAACGATTGATTTTCACTCCGAATTAATTCGCTCTGCCTTCAGAATAATAAACAACCCCCTTGCTGAACAAGGCTGCAGCTGTGGTGCAAGTTTTGCTATTAAGGTTGATTGACACTAAATATTAATAACTGTTGAATTCATGTAGTTGTATATTACAGTATATATTTTTTAAAATGTTTATCAAAGCTTAAGATATTCGTCAATTTGTGGGATCACGCTGTATTTTAGATAATTTACTTCAACTCCAGAGTCTCAACGTTCATTGATAAGTTATTAGTGTACATACTAGTTAATTATTAAAAACGTACGACAGATAAAAGTGAGAAAATGGTGGTTCAAGTGGTGATTCTTTACTGGCCTTCAGTTTAAAATAAAAATTGAGTTTATTTTTCTGCATCGATTTCTTTTTAAATCATTAATTCATTGCCATTGAGTTCTCCCTTATTTACATTGAATTGCTGATTATTTGAATTTATTTAGTCCATGGAATGTTGAATTGGTGGAGGTTAGTGGCAGTTGAGATCACTTTTGCCTTCCTTTTTTACCATTCTGTAAAAATAATCAATTTAGCACTTAATTTGGATGACAATAAACATTTTGGAATGTTTTAGCTGACGAGTAAATGAAAAAAATCTAGTAATGAGTGAGTTTGGAAGAGAATATCAAGACTTTTTATAATAACTATACTAAAATACGTTGTGTTAAATTTATAGAAATTGTATAATGAAAAAATCCTAAAATTCTCAGTAACAATTGAAGAAAAAATGTTAGAAAACTTTCTTTATTGAGAGTTTCATCGGCCACAAAAGAAGTCTTAATATTTTCCCCTCAAACCACTTGTTACTGGCATAATTCCATAATTAACAAAATTAATATGGCATTCCTAGAATGGAAAAAATCATTTTAAAAAATGAAGAGAAACGAAAAAAACGATAAAAATGATAGTATAATCTTGCGAATATCAGGAAATATTGTTTATAAGTCATGAAATTTACGATAAAAAAATCTCGTGACTTCTCTCGATTTCAAAAATTCATAGAAGTTTATTTTAATCACCTTATGTTCAAGTTCATATCGCAGTTGTTGAATCTCCTCGGTCTGCTGAATGAGTTTTTCATTCATATTAGCCAAATGTTCAGTCATAGTACTCAACTGAGCCTTATAACTGCCCTCCTGAACCTCTTTATCCTCCTGAGAGCTGTTCCAGTTGGATACAGCCTCCAACAATGCGGCCTCACACTTCTCCCTCTTCTCCTCGCTGTTATCCAGATGCACACTCATAACTTCGTTCTAAAAATAATATTGAAAAAATTCTGTTAAAGTTAAATGACCAGTGAAGTGACAAAATACTCTGAGAGAAAAACAAACACGTTGTCAAACAAGTCTTGTTTGGGCCAACAAATCGCTAGTTGAAAATTGCCAAAAAAGAATTTATTTGGTTCGAATTTGAAAGTCTCAAACATGAATAATTGCTCTGCTTTCGACAGCAACGAAATATTTGGCTCGAGAGGCGGATAATTCACACCAGACGGTGCCTTTACAGAATGAAAATATCTCATATCGAGGAAAATTTATCAACAAATATTATCCTTAAGTTACAAGATTGCTATCATATCATTATTATTGACTTTGTCGTTTTTCTCTCAGTGTACAACAGAAAAAGTGGGTTAATTTCCCTCGAGTAAATGTTCCAATCCATCAAATATTCTCACATGGAACGTATAGTTTTTCGGCAGAGGAAATTTTTTCCCTCAGTGCACTTAATAATGTAATTACTTACATTAGCTGCTATGGCAAGATTCTTAGCATGACATATGTGTTTCTCATTGACCAATCTCTCAATTTCACGTAGAAAATAATCACGAATTTTCGCCTCTCTGGCTTCAATCTCTTCGGGTATTGCAAAAGGTGCCTTTAGCCTTCCAATCTGCAAACAATCAATGAAAATAATACCATTATTAATCGTTAAAATCAAGAAACTAAGTATTACAACTATCAGAACGTTCGAAAAACAACGAATATCACCAATTTCATGGGTATATAAGCAATAAAATAAAAACTCACCAGATTACTAATCTCAGCAGGTTCCAGTGTCCCCTCCCCGCCCGCATAAATCTCCTTCTGGCGAATCTCATCATACTTAATCTTGAGGATATTATAATCACTCTTGTACTGGTTCAGCTCCTTCTCCAGGTCACTCAGCTTAACAAACTCGAATTCATTATTCTCCTCGTGGCAATCCGGAGTTTTCTGGGTCCTCCCCTCCCCGAGGGACTTGGAGGACCTCCTGGAGCCGGAGGGCGACGAGAAAGGGGAGTGTCCCTCCTGCCTGTGGTTTATCATCCCCACCTTCAGGTCGTAATCATACTTTCCCTCGACACTGGACCACGAGGCCGTCTCCTCGTGCTTCTGGCGCTCGTTGATCCTCCTCTGGAGATCGCTCCTCTCCCTCTCGAGTTTGTCGATCCTCTCCTGATGCCTGGCATCCAGATCCAGCCTGGACTTCTCAGACAGGTCCAGTCTGTACTCCAAATGTTTAATCCTGTCGTTCAACTCCTCTATTTCGTTGTCCTTGTCTGAGAATTGTGACAACAGCTGAGCATTCTCGACGATCTTCTTCTGGAACTCCTCGACGTAGACGTGGTTGGGGGCAGGTGGGGGCAGCTCCTTGTTCTCTACGGACTTGCTGCGACCCTTCTTCGATTTATTCTGGAGGTGATCGAGCTCCTCTTGGAGGACTGTCACTCTTTTTGTCAACTGATGGTTTCGAAATGTCAGACTGTCCAGCTCTTGCTCCTGTCTGCGGAGGGTGACGTCTTTGCTCTTTATCTGATCCTTCAGGTCACCGTTGCGGGTCTGCTCGTCTATCACAGCTTTTTTTAGGACACTTGCCTGCGCTCGTATCTGGAACGAAAAGGTTGAATGGGTTGAAGATCGAGGGGAGGAGGAATTTGGGGATTAATGGGATGATTTTTGTGTTTAAGCCCCGGGTGTACTATCTTTCGAATGTTATCTGGATTTTTTTTATCTTTCGTTATCCAAAATTGTCAATTGAGTGGTACGTCATGTAGAAATTTCCGAAATTATGATAGAATGATAAAAAAATAGAAAAAATTCTGAACTTTTTCAAAGAGCGTTTTTAATTGAGATTTAGAATGAGTTGAAAAAAGGGGAATTACTAATATCTGATTCGCTGTGGCAAATTATCTATTAGGTGTCATTTTCCATGGTGGATAACAAAACACTAACTCCTCATGGGAAGTGACAGCTAGGTATCTCAATTTTCGAAACAGTGGTATGTAGTCATCTGCCATTTTTATATAATAAAAGTGTGATTAAAAAATTCTCCAAAATATTACAACTTTTTTCAAAGAGCCTTTTCCGTAATAAATGTCTCTGTGCAGTGTGGGAAAAGATTTACAAAATCAGTCTTCCCCCTCCATGATATTGGGTGACAGGCCGCCATTTGTCACCGTAAATCAGATACATTTTTCAATTTCTTGTTATTCAACTTATTTTGAATATAAATTAAAAATGCTCTTTGAAAAAATTAAGAATTTTTTCTACTTTTTTTTGATTATTCATTCATAATTTTTCAAAACTTCTGCATGATGCAGGACTTAATTGACAATTTCAGGTGACGAAGGATGAAAAAAAACATCGAGATAACGTTCAAAAGATAGTACACCCGGGCCTTAAGAGTGTGTTATCTTCCGAACGTGATGTTGATTGTTTTTCTTTATTTTTATCATTTAAGGCCCGGTTGGGCTATCTTTCGAATGTTATCTCGATTGTTTTTCTATCTTCATTATGTAAAATGTATCACAATTTCCATTGGATTTTACATCACGCAGGAGTCCTTGAAAATTATGATAGTACAATCAAAACAAAGAGAAAAAAATGAATATTTTCAAAGAGCGTTTTTAATGACGATTAAGAAATAAGTAATTAATAAGGATGAAAGTAAGGGGCAATGTAGAAAAACAGACCATTTTTTATTGTTTATCACGACAAATTTAAGACATAATAACAGTTTTTCAAAAATTTTTTTTAATTGGAAAGATTTCTCAATGGAAATCTCCACTTCATAATTTTCCAAATATCTTTCAAACAATTCAAGGTATCTTTTTTGATAGAAAACATCAAAATCCCATTTTTGTAGCTCAAAAAATTCCCCGGAAAAAATCCTAAATGTTCTACTTCCTCGACAGGGAATTTATTTATTTATAGAATTTATTATGAAAATGCTAATTGACCTGCTAGAACACATCATGGATAACTGTATGATAAAATCAAGAAATAATAAGTTTAATAATCATTTTATCAAATTGAAAAACTGAAATAACTCCAAAACGATTGGGTTAACATAAAAAAGTCATAAGACACATTTTATAGCCCTCAAAATCCTCTACAAAAAACATATTCTCACATTTTCACCTCAAGCCACTCCTCATCCCAGAAACCGCAAAAATTGATTAACAACTTTCTAATCAAGTTTTCCCAATTAAAAATCTCCCCTCCATAATTTTTCAAATATCCCAAAACCCATTGGACTTATCAAAAAACATCAACAGACCATTTTTGAAGCTCACAAAATTCCCCTGAAAAATCCTAAATCCTCTACTTCCTCCACATGGAATTTATTTATTTATGGAATTTATTATCAAAATATTAATTCACTTGCTAGAAGACATCATGAATAACTATTGCTTATCATGATAAAATCAAGAAATAATAAGTTTAATAACCATTATATCAAATTGAAAAACTCAAGAATATTTTTTCAAATTGAAAAACTCAAATAACTCCAAAACGATTGGGTTAACATAAAAAAGTCATAAGACACATTTTGTAGCCCTCGCCATCCTCTACAAAAAACATCTTTTCGCATTTTCACCTCAAGCGACTCCTCATCCCAGAAACCGCAAAAATTGATTAACAACTTTCTAATCAAGTTTCCCCAATTAAAAATCTCCCCTCCATAATTTTCCAAATCTCCCAAAACCCATGGGACTCATCAAAAAACTTCGCAATACCATTTTTGTAGCCCACAAAAACCTCCCCCAACCCCCACCTCCCCAAACATCTCCGAAACCCTTCAACAAAAATCCCAAACCTCCACCTCCTTCCGCCGCCCCATCCCCCAATTAATGCAATTACCCTAATTACCCACCTTGGAGTACTCCGTCGCGACCTTCTGATACTTCATATGCAACTGTTGCCCATTGACACTCTCCATCTCCCCAGTTCCGCAGCCCTCAACGATGATTACCAATCCCCTAAATTAATTATTGCACTCTTCAATCACCAGTAACCGAGTATTTCCTGTCACATCACCGAAGGCCCGCATCTCCCTCCTCGCGCCCCTCGAAATCTCACAAACAACCCGTTAAAAAACCAAAAATAATCCCAATATCCCATCAACAATCACATGCCTTTTATTTATCCCTCCGAGCAAAAAAAAAACGAGAGAAAAATCACAGAATTGCTGTTCACTCCCACGTAAAAGTCCTCAAAACGCCCCCAAATCCGCTGACAGCGGCTCTACTTCATGACTCTCAGTGTCTGCAGGCCCTCCAGATGAAAAATGTCGCACCAGCCCGAGCAAAAAAAAATACAAAATGAATATTAACAATTGTTGCTGGGTTCGATCACTTCACAACTCATTTTTCCTTTTTCCTGTTCCTCCGTTGACGAACGGAACAGACGACTGACGACATCTGGCGCTGAACGAGGGAATCAGAACCGTTGCGACGAGTCACGTGACCGTTGTTTATCTTTTGAATTCGTGTCCTTGATTCGGCAGACGCCGGTGTTTCGTTTCATTCGCGCGGCAACCGAGACGAGAAGAGGAAGCAGAAGCAGACGAGAGAAGAATTCTCTCGATTGTCGACGATTTTGCCCTGAATAATTGTTAAAAAATTGTTTTGTTGGGGGAGAGGAGAGACCAACAGGTGAGAATTTTGGTTATTTCGTTTTTTTGGGGGTTCTCGGGGATTGCTGGGGGTTTTTGGTGGCGAAGGAACGCCACTGGAGACGAGACGTTCTTTGTTTGGATTTTTTTTTGTCATTTGAGAGGTTTTTTTTGTTTTCGTTGAGGAACTGAGGTTGAAAGTGGGTTTTTTGATGGATTTTCCGAGGTATTGGCATTCATTGAAGTGATTTCTGAGGGGATTTGGGGGTAATAAAGGGGTGACATTGGAATTATTCGGACGACCACGTGATTGAAGATTTTTCTTTGTTCTTTGACCTTGGGAAGAGGGCTAGACAGGTCGCCGATTGTTTTTTTTTTCGTTTGAGAGGGTTTTCTCATTGTTCTCAGCGCTTCATTACTTATCTGACTGTTGAACAAGTCGATTAGGGGAGGGTGGGGTAAAACGGACACTTTTGACTTTTTTTTAAATATTAATGAGGGGTTAAAATGTTGATGAAATTTAATCATTTTTTTTTTCAGTACAAAGAACAATTCTTTCCCTTTGTGACGAGCCTAAACTGAGCTCAATTCATAAATTCGTTTCTGAGTTATAAATTATTTGTAAAAAGTCTCAAGTGTCCATTTTACCCCACCCTCCCCTATATTTTTCTTGTTCGGTATTAGGATTAATTGAAGTGATTTCTGAGGGTTTTTGGTGGTAATAAAGAGATGAAATTAGAATTTTTGGGATGATCACATGATTGAAGACTTTTCCTTGTTCTTTCGTTTGCTTTTTTTTTCGTTTGAGACGTTTTGTTCATTGTTCTAAACCCTTCATTAGTCACCTGGGTGTTGAACAAGTTCATCAATTGTGTTTTTCCTATAGAAAAATAAATATAATAAAGAGAAAAAAAATGGAATTGTGTAGTTCAAGGTTTGATGAATAATATTTGTCCAATTATTTTCATTTTGCGAGGGATTCACTAGTGATTCACGAGTATGGCATCTCGATTCTGATCGAACAACATATTGACAACAAGACTTCGACTCTTTGTTTATTTTTTTTCGGTCGTTCCTGCCAGATATTTTGATATCGTGGTTGAATGATTCAGGAGGAAATTAGATTTTTCCATCTGGTATCCTGAATTACTTATTAAGGAGAGATTATTTATTTAGTTTGAAACGATTTTAGACGATTAAAAATTGATTTCATGGAATTTGCGTTTTTTTTATGAAGAAAAAAGCTAAAAAATGAAATCAAATTTTTGTAATACAGTTATAAAGATTCCTGTTGTGCTTTGTTCGACGTAGATCACACCATGGACGACCCCATGGCCTTTTTCTACGGCAAGGCCCCGATGAAGACGGTGGTCCTGCACAAGCCAGCGAGGAAGTCTTACAAATTGTCCACTGACGTCGCCTCGCTTTGCTGCGCCTCCGAGACGAGCACCCTGTCGACCTGTGTGGGCACTGATTACGCTGATGAGTACCTGGAGAGGGAGGATCAACTCCTGCGTGAGGTGAGATTTATTTTGTTTGTTTGAGAAAGATAATTGATGATAAAATGACAGTTCTTGAATATTTTTTCTTTCGAGTTAAGGCCCGGGTGTACTATCTTTCGAATGTTATCTGGATTTTTTTTTCTTTCGTAATCCAAAATTGTCAATTGAGTGGTACATCATGTAGAAATTCCCAAAATCTATGATAGAATGATAAAAAAAATCAGAAAAAATTCTGTACTTTTTCAAAGAGCGTTTTTAATTGAGATTCAGAATGAGTTGAAAAAAGTGGAAATTACAAATATCTGATTCCCTGTGGCAAATTATCTATTAGCTGTCATTTTCCATGGTGGATAACAAAACACTAACTCCACATGGGAAGTAACAGCTGGGTATCTCAATTTTCAAAACAGTGGCATGTAGTCATCTGCCATTTTGATGTGATAAAAGTGTGATTAAAAAATTTTGAAAAAATGTGTACAATACCAATTACGAGTTAGTTTTTTGAAATTTGACTGCTACACAACAAATTTTGTTTTTTTTAAGGCCCGGGTGTACTATATTTCGAATGTTATCTGGATTTTTTTTATCTTTCGTAATCCAAAATTGTCAATTGAGTGGTACATCATGTAGAAATTCCCAAAATCTATGATAGAATGATAAAAAAAATCAGAAAAAATTCTGTACTTTTTCAAAGAGCGTTTTTAATTGAGATTCAGAATGAGTTGAAAAAAGTGGAAATTACAAATATCTGATTCCCTGTGGCAAATTATCTATTAGCTGTCATTTTCCATGGTGGATAACAAAACACTAACTCCACATGGGAAGTAACAGCTGGGTATCTCAATTTTCAAAACAGTGGCATGTAGTCATCTGCCATTTTGATGTGATAAAAGTGTGATTAAAAAATTCTCCAAAATATTACAACTTTTTTCAAAGAGCCTTTTCCGTAATAAATGTCTCTGTGCAGTGTGGGAAAAGATTTCCGAAATCAGTCTTCCCCTGCATGATATTGGGTGACAGGCCGCCATTTGTCACCGTAAATCAGATACATTTTTTCATGTTATTCAACTTATTCTGAATATAAATTAAAAATGCTCTTTGAAAAAATTCGGGAAGAATTGCCCTTTTTATTGAAAAAAAAAATGTCATATAACTTCATTAACAATTCAATAAGTCATTAGCATTTGAAAAAAAGTCAAAAGGGTTTATTTTACCCCATCGTCCCCTAATCCAAAAGGCTCGAATTCCTGTCTGTCTAACATTCTTATTTCCTTCCTTTCGTCAGTCCTCAGCCCTCTACAGGAGCATCCCTGGCCCCGAGGGCGGGAGTTACGATCAAATCTCCCTGACAACAGCAGCCAGCAACGTGCACCTCGACGAGGAGCAGGCAAAGATCTACAACACCTACGACTTGAGCTACACCCCCAGGAATCACCTGTCAATTGCTTCCTTCCAAGATCAAATCACCATCATGATCGAGACGAATCCAGTGACGATAATCCAGGGCCCCACAGGCTGTGGAAAGACCACACAGGTCCCCCAGTTCATTCTGGACAGCTGCTACAGGAAAAAACTTCCCTGCAACATCGTCGTCACCCAGCCCAGGAGAATAGCAGCAATGAGCATTGCAAAACGAGTCAGTGAGGAGCATGAGTGGCCTTGTGGCACTCTCGTTGGCTTCAAAGTTGGTCTTGTCAGCAACACAAACGAGGAGACTCGACTCACCTACTGCACCACAGGAGTCCTCCTCCAGAGACTCGTCCATCAAAAACACATGAACGATTTCACTCATGTCATTATTGATGAGATCCACGAACGAGATCAGGACATGGATTTTCTCTTGCTGGTCGTCAGGAAATTCCTCAGATCTAACTCTCGGGGGGTCAGGGTAGTCCTCATGTCGGCTACTTTCAATGTGGAGAAGTTCTCGAAGTATTTCTCGTTTTATGCAGGTCAAAAGCTCATCTCAGCCCCAATAATCGACGTAACAAAACGCAATCTCTTCCTAATCCGCGAGTTTTACCTTGACGACCTCCATGTTGTGAAGACTAAGCTCCCCGAGGTGAAGGCCCACGAGCCCGAGGTATCCAAGGAGATGCTGCAGTTCGCAGCTTCACTCATGAAACTCATGAACAGAATCGACGAGGAAGTCGATCGTTTCGGGAGCTCCAGCTCGACCGATCGTCCCACCATTCTGGTGTTTCTCCCTGGAATACACGAGATCGAGGAGCTCCACAATCTCCTCGACGCGCCAATGAATGAGTCCGACAAGTGGGACATTGTCGTTCTCCACTCGTCGATCACCAGTGAGGAGCAAGGAAGAATATTCGAGGCACCCCCTCCCGGCTATCGCAGGATTATCCTGTCCACAAATATCGCTGAGAGCAGTCTGACTGTTCCGAATGTAAAATACATCATTGACTTCTGTCTGACGAAACAATTAGTTACTGATCCAACAACGAATTTTCACAGTTTGGAGTTGACCTGGGCGTCACATGCCAATTGCCAACAGAGAGCTGGACGAACGGGGAGAGTGATGGACGGCAGAGTCTATCGGCTCGTCCCCAAATTGTTTTATCAACAGGTACTTCCCGCTGAGAACCCCCCAGAGATCGCCAGAGCCCCCCTCGAGAACATTTACCTCAGAGCAAAGATGCTGAACATGGACAAGCCAAAGGCCCTTCTAGCCCTGTCACTGGACCCACCAGACCTCAGTAACATCACTCGAACTGTTCTCAACCTGAAGGAGGCTGGAGCCCTCCTGGATGTTGGAGACGATCCCCACGATGGGGAGCTGACTGACATGGGCAGAGTGATGGGACAGTTGCCCCTGGAGATTCACGTGTCCAAGCTGATCATCCTTGGGCATGTCTTCAGTGTCCTGAGGGAGGCCATAATCATCGGTGCGAGCATGTCTGTCAAGAACATGTTCAGTGCACCCTTCAAAGAGAAAATGCAGGCGTACAGGGCCAAGCTGCTGTGGGCCAGGAACACCAACAGCGATGGAATCGCTTTCTTGAATGCCTTCAAGGCCTTTATGAATTTCAAGTTTCAGAATTCCAGGGCCAAGGACCCGAGCTCCGAGCACGCATGGGCGAGGAGGAGCTTTCTGCAGATCAGGGTTATGAGGGAGGTTGAGGCCACTGTTAATGAGATCACGCAGAGGCTGGAGAGTTTGGGCATCAAGGAGACCAGGGGACCACTGAAGATTCAGTGGAATCCCACTGAGTTTCAGTTTGTACTGAAGGTTATCATTGCTGGGGCTTTCTATCCTCAGTATTATTTGGCTCATCCCAGGGCTGATGAGAGGAGCAGTGTCAAGGAGCTGGGAGGACTGGATCCTACTAAGACGGTTTACCTGACAGGTTCGTCATATTTTTGGGATTAAGGGAGAGTGGGGTAAAACGGGCCCTTTTGACTTTTTTTGTGGTTGTCATAAGTCAGAAACAAATTCATTAATTGAGGTCAGTTAATTGAGCTCATTCTAAAGGGGAAGAAGTGTAGTTTCCATGGAAAAATATTATTTTATTTTATTGAAAATTGAATGAGCTGTCAAGATTTTTGAAAAAATTAAAAGGGAACGTTTTACCCCACTCTTCCCTATGAATTAGTTGGGATAGAGGATCTTTTGTATTTTATGATTAATTTTTTTTTCACTGTTTTGAAAATTGAGATACCTAGCTGTCACTTCCCATGAGAAGTTAGTGTTTTGTTATCCACCATGGAAAATGACACCTAATAGATAATTAGCCGCAGCAAATCCGATATTTGTAATTTCCTATGTTTTCAACTCATTCTGAATCTCAATTGAAAACGCTCTTTGAAAAAGTTCAGAATTTTTTCTCTTTTTTTTTATCATTCTGTTATAATTTTTGGGAATTTCTACATGATGTACCACTCAATTGACAATTTTGGATTACGAAAGATAAAAAAATCCAGATAATATTCGAAAGATAGTACACCCGGGCCTTAAATCTCTAATCAATAAAATACCTTCAACAGGATGGCCCTTCAGTCAGCCAGGGCAGCTCTACGCCAAGCGTTTCCAGGAGGCCTTCCAGGAGGTCCTGAGTGCAGATTCCTCTCGAATCGGTGTTAAATTCGATCACTCAAACCGAGTGTACATTCAATTCAACAAGACTGAAGTGAAGGACCAGAGGGACATGCCAGATCTTCCAGGGGACATTCCAGTATCAGTCTACCAGGCCCTGAAGCTCAAGTCCATTGGAAACGCCATCACCATTCCCCTCATGCCAGCAGATGCAGCCAACAAAATGGCTGAAGAACTGGGAGTGGAGAAGGACCCCATAAACCTGTATCTCCCACGTCCCAGGAGGACTCCGAATGGACCAGCTTTCAGGCTCAGACCCGAGCTGCCTCCCCTCGACCTGACGTACTTTCCCATCGAGATCCAGAGGATCGTCGATCCTGGCCGCTTCTGGGTGACGAACAAGGACGAGCAGACCAGACGAAACCTCTCCAAGATTAAGAAAATCATCAGTGCCATGGACGCCAAGGGGCTGGAGTCGTTTGAGACCAATCCGAAGGTTGGGACGGTTGTTCTCGCCCCCAAGGACTGCACCATGGACGACAAGAGCCCTCAACTGACGGTTGTTTACGATCGTGCAGTCATCCAGAACCTCTTCTTGGTGACGAGACACGAGTACAATGCTCAGGTCTTCTTCATCGACTCTGGGTTCGTTTCAAAGCTCAGGATTTCTGATCTTCGCTGTGTCCCGGTGGACTCACCACTCGAGCAGATACCAGCAGCTGCTCTTCAGTGCGTCCTGAGCCATGTCAAGCCAGCGATACTGAATACACTCACGGGACAGTGGTCTGAAGGGGCGAAGAGGGTTTTTGAGGAGCTTATTACGGGGGAGGAGAAGAAACTTTATGCAGAGGTTTGGTTTTTTTTTTGCTTTTACTTTCGAATGGAAGCTTTGTAATCGGTTAAATTTATGTTTCCAATTTTTTGTGTTAATAAGTTCTATGCGTTGACACCAATTGGAATTCAATTTCTCATACAGATTTTAAAAAATTGATATCTCTTGAAAAATCGATTTTTCAATGATCACCCAAAAAAACTTTCATGAAAATGGAATTAGTCACGGCTCAAAAAAATTTCATGTTTCATCGTTCGCTTATCCAATGGAATGTTAAATTTTTTGTATAATTTCACCCAAATTACGTTTTTTTCTAAATTTTTGTCATAAAATTAAATTGACGAATGGGATGATTAATGGCCTCAAAATATTGTGGTCCTCAGAAAGCTAAAAAATACTTTGATATCGTTACCACATTAATATTCACTGTTCTTCCCAAAAGATTCCAGACAAAAAAACATCCTCATGAGACTGTAAAAAATGCTTTAATATCTTCAAAAATCATATTAATTCAGTTTCTCCTTCAAAGTTAAAAAGCAGTTCTTGGCAAACTATGAACGGTATTTTGACATCACTTGATACATTTTGAAAAACTATCGACGACGATGTCAAAAAAATTCTCACGAAACGGCAAAAAGTACTTTTATATTTTCAAACTTTCCATAAAAGTAAAAAATGTGAAATAAAAAAAAAATAATAGTCTTATTCGTTATTTACAAATAAATAATTGAAATTGTTTAAACTTTCGGAGAGCTTATTTTTTTAGGCATGAAATTGATTTCTGGTAAAACTCTGACCATGAATAAATTTTTTACGATTCCAAACAGCTGAATTTTATGATGAAAAATTGATTATTCATAAATTATTTGTAACAATTGGTCATAGTCTCAAAAAATTGCAATTTTTTAATTATTTCATCAATATTCCTCCAAAAGTAAACTTTCTATTTTTTTCAGACTTTTAAAATGTTTTCTGAAGATTCAATATCGAGATTTAAATTCAGACCTGCAAAGTTTAAATAATAAAATCACTGTAAAACGTCTGGAAATTTAGGATCAGATGGGGCTCACACGATAGTTCTGATTTTCGACTACAAAAGTAGAAAATCATTTCACTGTAGAAAAAAGGCCCAAAGTACTCTGAAAAATTCAGTTCTTAATCGAGATTTTCTCCATTCCAGGTTTATTCAGTCGTCAACTCAGTGGCCTCCATCTACCTCCACGTCTACAACAACAAGTCCGAGACAATCCAAGTGAACGACTTCCTAGTTCGAGAGGGCTACGCAGAGTGCAGAGAGGAGGACTACCTCTCCAAGGCGAATCACAACATCAGAGAGGACGTGAACAAATTATCAATCGACGAGAAGAACACCCACACAGAGCTCCAGCACAGTCAGCTGTACCTCTCCGACTCCTACGTGGAGCCTCCAGACGTGGTGGACTGTCCCATCACCGTCACCCTGACAGGTCCCAACTCACCCCTGGAAGTCAAGCTCTCGAACCTGATTGGAGCTGGTGTGGGACTGTCCATTGGCATCGATCCAGTCTCAGTCAACTGCGTTCTGCTGGATCCAACTCTCAACGATCCTCAAGCGAGACTCGTCGTAGCTGGATCTGTCAGTCAGGGCTTCTGCTCCGGGAATTTGACCCTCAGAAACACGACACTGATGCCCAACATTCCAGGACTGACGCATCTCCTGGCCCTCATCTTCGCTCCCAGGGTCGAGCTGAGGGCTAATTCCATGAAGACGAGGAATGTTGGAGCCCTGTGTGGCCTTGGGCACGAGAAAGACAGCAAGAGGAGTCTCTTCCCAGAGCACGACATGACCCTCAATTTCGATGTCGACATCAATCTCGATGACCTCCAGAACATCAACAGACTGAGGTACTGGATGAGCATGGGGATATTCGTCAACACTGATGAGGACAAGGACGAACAGCAGATCATAAACGATACGATAAAGGCCCAGACGAAAGTCAAGGAGAGCCTGTTCACACTGATGAGCAGAAAGAGGGATCCCATCATGGCTGAGGTCGACCTGAGACACGGAAAGTGGTGCAGGTACAAGGACTCGGAGTTCATCGATCCCCCGAACGTCAACAAGTTCGAGAATATCATGATTTACAAGCTGCATCGGGCTCTCGACCTCAAACAGCAGGACGATGCGAGGGAGGGAATGCTCATTCACCTCGAGGAGCTGAAGAGGAAGGCCTCGATGAAGGTGAAGGACATGCCTTACGAGGAGATGGAGTGCTTGCTCTGCACTCAGAAGATCTCCGGAATTCTGCATCTGAGGACCCATATCACGTCGAGCTATCATTGTATGCTGGAGAAGCAGCTGATGGAGGCGAATGAGTTGTAAAGAATGAGGTGATGACAGTTTTTTCGTTGAGATGGTGCTAATCCTCATCAGAATTACCATCAGAGTTCGTTACAAAAAATGAGATGACTGTCATGAAGAGTTGGGAAGGAGGGGTAATTGAAGAAATTCTGCAGAAGGAATTTCTCTTGGCATTCAGCGGAGGAGAATAGGCTGATGGAGGTGAATGAATTGTAAAGAGTCAGATGACAGTTTTTTCGTTGGAAGAAACTACTTTTTTTATTGTTTTATGAACTATGAGGTATAGTTCAGAGCTATGAGTTATTTTTCTGAGATATAGTTCAGAGCTATGAGTTATTTTTTTTCTTTATGAAGACTTTGGCGATGCCACTGATGAGGATTAGGGGAAGAAAGAGAAGATGGTGTTAATGCTCATCAGTATTACCATCAGAGTTCGTTAAAAAAATGAAATGACTGTCATGAAGAGTTGGGAAGGAGGGGTAATTGAAGAAATTCTGTAGAGGGGATTTCTCTGGCCATTCAATGGAGGAGAATGGGCTGATTGAGGTGAATGAGTTGTAAAGAGTGAGATGATGACAGTTTTTTCGTTGGAAGAAACTACTTTTTTTATTGTCAATTTTGCGAACTATGAGGTATAGTTCAGAGCTATGAGTTATTTTTTTTCTTTATGAAGACTTTGGCGACGCCACTGATGAGGTGGGTGTTCATTAAAAAAGCGAAATCCTCACGATTATCACGAGGGGTTGAAAGAGGGAGGGGCTGTAGAAAAAATTCTGTACAAGTTGAATGCTCTTGGCATTCACCTGAACAGTGAAATGACCATGACAATTTATGGTGAAGACCTTTGAAAACAGTTTTTCATTAAGAGTCTAGTTATTAATATGTTCTCATTATTAATTATTGATTGATTCTACGAACTGTGTTTAGGATCATTGTTTTTAGTGTTTTTTCTTTCATGAAGACTTTGACGATGATGAGTATAAGGATTAGGGGCAGGACGGAGAGACGATGATGACCGTTAAAGATAGGTCTAGCTTTTAGGTTCTTTTTTTTCATTAGCAGAGTCTAATCGTTTCATTCTTATTTTTTTGTTTATAACTGTGGAAGACAGTTTGGATATTCTTGTTTTTTTATAGACACTTTGACGATTGTATTGTAGTAGTTTATAATGAAAATTTTTCATTGATTAATAAAGATGATACCAAAGTGGAGGATAAAATACGTGAGAAGTGGTGGAACTGGTTGAGTGGAAACTGGAGATTAGATGGGGGAAATGAACGGTTTTAGAAGAAATTCTCTATAACGAAGGTCTTCTGGGGTTTCTCATACATGAAGATCATTAATTCATCATCATTAAGGCCCGGGTGCACTATCTTTCGAACGTTATCTCGATGTTTTTTTTCATCTCTCGTCATCTGAAATCGTCAATTAAGTCCTGCATCATGCAGAAGTTTTGAAAAATTATGAATGAATAATCAAAAAAAAAAGTAGAAAAAATTCTTAATTTTTTCAAAGAGCATTTTTAATTTATATTCAGAATAAGGTGAATAACAAGAAATTGAAAAATGTATCTGATTTACGGTGACAAACGGCGGCCTGTCACCCAATATCATGCAGGGGGAAGACTGATTTCGTAAATCTTTTCCCACACTGCACAGAGACATTTATTACGGAAAAGGCTCTTTGAAAAAAGTTGTAATATTTTGGAGAATTTTTTAATCACACTTTTATCACATAAAAATGGCAGATGACTACATANCTAGCTGTCACTTCCCATGAGGAGTTAGTGTTTTGTTATTATAGCGAATTAGATATTTGTAATTTCCACTTTTTTCAACTCATTCTGAATCTCAATTAAAAACGCTCTTGAAATAGTTCAGAATTTTTTATATTTTTTTTATCATTCTATCATAATTTTTGGGAATTTCAACATGATGAACCACTCAATTGACAATTTTGGATTACAAAAGATAAAAAAAATCCAGATAAGATACGAAAGATAGTACACCCGGGCCTTAATTCTAGAAGTTTCTGAAATGTAGTTGGATTGAACAATCTAGTATAAATCTATTTCAGAAAAAAAAAATTCGATAGACAGTTTTTCGCAGAAAATTTAATCTTTTACAAAAAAAGTCTCCATTTTTATTAAAAAAATTGTTGATTACAGAAGTAATTAATAATCTAATTCTCTCAACCGATTTCACAGCTCGAATTAATTAAACTTATTTTACTTTTAACAACACTAATTTATTGATTCTTTTGAATAATGAATGATATCTACAAAATATACAGATGATCGAAAAAAATGAGTACAAAAAATATTATCCGTGTACAGAAGAAATAATCCATTAGATATTAGTTATCGATACATTCATAATAATTCATGAAATTAAGGCCGTGATGGATTATCTTCATTTTTCCATCTTCTCTTCATAATTTAAACGTCACAATTTCCATTGGATTTTACATTATCCGAGAGTCTCTAAAAATTATGATTGCACAATCAAAAAAAGTAGAAAAAAAACTAAACACTTTGAACGAGTTTTTAAAATTTTTTAAATAAAAATGAGGAGATAAGTCCTAACCCCTATAGGCATTACCTAATGGCTACAGTTAATTATTAATTTGCAATTTCCTCCCTATTGGATTTATTCTCCAATATTAATCAAAAACACTTCAAAAATGTTCTTTCTTTTCAACGTTTCTTCAATTACATAATCATAATTTTTTTGTGACTCCAGGGCTATGCAAAACTCAATGGCAATTGGAGAACATTTCAGATTACCAAAATGAAAGAAAAGCAGCCAAGATCACGTTCGAAAGACAATGCACGCCAGCCTTGAAGGGTAACAGAAAGCCGCTAATTTTCCAATTTTTTAAGCAAATTTCCCGCTCAAAGTTATTAATATTTTTTTAATCCAAGAAATTAATCTCCAAGAAGCGATAATGGAGATCAATGTGCTTTGGGTTAAAAAAATATTCGTAACTTTGAGCAGGAAATGTGTTTGAAAATTTCGGAGAAACGGTAGCCTTCTGTTACCCCTTAAGGTACTTCCTCAGTGAGTTATACTTGATAAAAATGTCGCAATGAACTGGGACCTAAAATTTGGATCATGTTGTTGAGGACATGTAAAAACGACTCCCAAAATTTCAAGTATTTTTTCCACGCGAATTTTTTAAATATCCATCGTCAACCCTTCAATTTTTGTCTTTTTTAAGTTTTTGTAGATCTATATCTCAAAAATTCGTGTGGAAAAAATACTTGAAATTTTGGGAATCGTTTTCACATGTGCTCAACAACATATGATCCAAATTTTAAATCTTCAGTTCATTGCGAAATTTTCAGCAAGTATAACTCACTGAGGAAGTACCTTAAGGGGAGACGAAACCCCTTTGTCTACATCAAATCTTAGAATTGTGTTTTCTTCTGCAATTATTAATTTCTATCTATGAAATTACTTTATCGACTCGATTATCGAATTGTTGAGTCGATGAAGTAGTTTAATGAATAAAAAATAATTGCAGGAGAAAACAATTCTAAAGATTCATATAAACGCAGGGGTTCCGTTTCCCCTTAAGGATGTACTACACCCTTTCAGCCAAAATTCACGTTTTTTTCATTTTTCTGGCAAATTATTGATCGGATTGACGCGAAATAATATACCGTTTTTGCGTTTTATTATTATTGACTGACTCACGAAGTTTCACGGTAGTGCAATCGTTTTCCTGCATTTTTTCTAAAGTTTTGTGAATTTCCCAAAAGTTTTAGAAAAAACGCAGAAAAATGATTGCACGATTATGAAATTTCGTGAGTCATTAAGTAATGATAAAACGCAAAAACGGTATATTTTATCACGTCAATTCGATCAACAATTTGCCAGAAAAGTTCAAAAAACGTGAATTTTGGCGAAAAGGGTGTAATACATCCTTAAATTTGGGTTCATTAACAAACAATATCGTTGTGAGGGGTATTCACATTCCAGCTATGTCCTCTTCAATTTCAAATTCTGCAGAGTTGCTTCAACAATCTCGTGGCATGAACCTGATGGCTGGTGGGGAGTACAATGATCGTGTAGGCATGGGCCCAAGTTGTGCACTGACGTAAGTACTCGGAGGAGGGGGTGGGTAAGGCCCAGGCGGTGGCTGCGGGGCCTTAACTGGATATCCCGACGTTATACTTCCAGTTTTTGCACCTTGTGGGGGCTGCTGAATGGGAATTGCACCTCCATGAACTGTCACGTGGCTTCCAGGACGCAGGTAGAATTTATCCTCGGAGTAGGCTGGCTTGTGGTCCAGTGAGTGAAGACTTGTGACGTAAGCTGAGAGTTGAGAAATCCAAGTATTAATTAATTAATGCGGTGAGCATGGGCAAGAGAACAAAAGGGAATTTGCATGATTTTTTTTCAATTTTCTATTCTCAACTTTCTAATCTTTAACGACGCTCTTCAACAATGTTCAGTTTTTTTGCAATTTCCTCTCCATTGGGTTTATTTCCCAATATTATTCAAAAACGCTCTTTGAAAATGTTCATTTTTTTCTCCTTTTTTTGCTTCCGAATGGAAGACTTCTTTCTTACCAATTTTTAGATTTTTTAATTTTGATTGCAAATGGTCTAGAATATTATGAAACGTGAAGAAATGATGTTTTTAGGGTCATGTCTGTATGTATGTGTCCGACAATTGGGTTTGTGGGTGAAATTCAACATAAATACGGTGAAATTTGTAGATAAAAATCTGAAATTTTGGCTCATCGTAACTATTATTGAACTCAACTTTGGCGCGCTGTTTCAGCCCAATCGGTTCAGCAGTTCCTGAGATATAACACAGTGTTAAATCTAAAAAAAACTGTAAAAATAGTGTTGACTACTGTGACAAATGACGACCTAACACCCATAGATCCATCAAATTATTAATTTGCAATTTCCTCCCTATTGGGTTTATTTCCCAATATTATTCAAAAACGCTCTTTGAAAATGTTCATTTTTTTTTCCTTTTTTTGCTTCCGAATGGAAGACTTCTTTCTTACCAATTTTTAGATTTTTTAATTTTGATTGCAAATGGTCTAGAATATTATGAAACGTGAAGAAATGATGTTTTTAGGGTCATGTCTGTATGTATGTGTCCGACAATTGGGTTTTTGGGTGAAATTCAACATAAATACGGGGAAATTTGTAGATAAAAATCTGAAATTTTGGCTCATCGTAACTATTATTGAACTCAACTTTGGCGCGCTGTTTCAGCCCAATCGGTTCAGCAGTTCCTGAGATATAACACAGTGTTAAATCTAAAAAAAACTGTAAAAATAGTGTTGACTACTGTGACTAATGACGACCTAACACCCATAGATCCATCAAATTATTAATTTGCAATTTCCTCCCTATTGGGTTTATTTCCCAATATTATTCAAAAACGCTCTTTGAAAATGTTCATTTTTTTTCCTTTTTTCCTTCCGAATGGAAGACTTCTTTTTGACCAATTTTTAGATTTTCTAATTTTGATTGCAAATGGTCTAGAATATTATGAAACGTGAAGAAATGATGTTTTTAGGGTCACGTCTGTATGTATGTGTCCGACAATTGGGTTTTTGGGTGAAATTCAACATAAATACGGGGAAATTTGTAGATAAAAATCTGAAATTTTGGCTCATCGTAACTATTATTGAACTCAACTTTGGCGCGCTGTTTCAGCCCGATTGGTTCAGCAGTTCCTGAGATATAACACTGTGTTAAATCTAAAAAAAACTGTAAAAATAGTGTTGACTACTGTGACAAATGACGACCTAACACCCATAGATCCATCAAATTATTAATTTGCAATTTCCTCCCTATTGGGTTTATTTCCCAATATTATTCAAAAACGCTCTTTGAAAATGTTCATTTTTTTTCCTTTTTTCCTTCCGAATGGAAGACTTCTTTTTGACCAATTTTTAGATTTTCTAATTTTGATTGCAAATGGTCTAGAATATTATGAAACGTGAAGAAATGATGTTTTTAGGGTCACGTCTGTATGTATGTGTCCGACAATTGGGTTTTTGGGTGAAATTCAACATAAATACGGTGAAATTTGTAGATAAAAATCTGAAATTTTGGCTCATCGTAACTATTATTGAGCTCAACTTTGGCTGAATAACAATTTGAGAATATTTCAGAATAACAAAATAAAGAAAAACAACCAGGATTATGTTCGAAAGATCATACATGCAGGCCTTAAGATGGATTAGTTGACAATAATTAATTCACCTGCTGGATGAGTAGACAATGTCGCTCTATTCCCCGACAAATAAACCGGTTTTCCAGGATCGGTTTCTCGTGCAGGTTGCGAGGTAGGCGCTGAGTAGCTGTAAACACTCTGTCCACCTGGTGTTGGATAAAAAGTCGAGGGTGGATATTGATTATTTTCTGTAAAAAGAAGAGAAACGAAACGAAAAATCATAACTCAAAATAAACCCCAAAGTAACAAATAGAATCGAATGGAAATGAAACAAATGATATGTAATGATGAAAAAAATGGAGAAAGATGAGAGAATTCACTAGAGGAGAAAGAAAGAGTCGATGTCACTCGATCAGTTTTTGATGAATATCTCGAAAAATTTTATAGATTTTTTCAACGACTCTTCATTTTTCATTAAGGTAAATGACCCTACGCTCGTCTAGCTGAGGTGAACACATCATTAGTCCAATATTTCTATCGAAATGAGCGTGAAGATGCGATGATTTAAATTACATATCAGAGGGTAAAACCTTCAGAATTGAAATTTATTTATATTAATTACGATAATTACTATTTTTTAATAAATAATCGTCCATGAATGTGAAAAGTTCCATGTCCCTACGCTCGTTCATTTGTCCCCATGCTCGTTTGACACATGTCCCTATCCTCGTCTCATGATTTGAGTGATATGGAAAGGTTATATCCGAACTAATTACATCGTGAGTATCCTATTTTGTGATAAAACAACATTAAAAAATATCTCGATGCACAAGATTATATTTCCATTGGACAGTCCAACCTTTTAAATGATTTTTTCATCCGTTTAGTCCGTTACCAGTTGACAGTTGGGTGCAAAACGAGCGTAGGATCAATGCCATTTTCATTGTACCTATTCTTTTAATTGGCTTTATTTCAGGGAAATATCCGGATATTACTATAATTTATGCATTTTTATTAAATTTTTAACTATTCGAAACCTTAGCCAAGGGATTTTTAATTCCATTTTACTATTGTAACGGAGATATCAACGTGTTAAAATTGTGAGTTTAACTTGTGGCTTAAGAATTAACTCTTTCGTAGAACGAGTTGATGTGAATGTGATTTTTCTCTCTTATTATTCAATAAATCACTCTGTATTGGTGTCTATAACTTTTCTTATTGACTAAAATAATAACTTCAATCGTACTTCACTCTTAACAGAGTCTTGGGACTATCAAAATGATTGAAATGTCATAGCTGGCAGGATCTGAACGAGCGTAGGAACAAAGACGGGCATAGGTACATTTACCTTAATGTTTTTTTTATGAAATGTAAGAAATCTGCAGGATAATTTTAGAAGTTATTCACCAAAAACCAATGCAATGAAGTTGATGGGCAATGTGAGACGATGGTGAGTGCATTTTGTCCATTATGAGAGGTACAGGTTCACTATTAATTAATCAATGGTGGATTTTTAATTATTAGAGGTTTGATGAATGAATGAGATAACGATGTGTTTTTTTTTAATTTTTCGAAAGACAATTCTTAATAATTAACTCACTATTCCAGAGGACGGCGCGAGAGTCGCCAGTTCTCCTGGCAGCCTCCTCTGATTCTGGAAAAATACAACCATCTCCCCTCAGTTCCCCTATTTACGTGTTTTATCAAAATAATATTAATGTGAGTCAACCTAGATGATTATAAATGATTATTATTCATTGAATTAAAAAATTATAGATTCAGTAATGAATTGTGCAGTCCAAAATGCAGTGAATTAAATTTCTTTTGAACAAAATGTGTTATTATTCGGTGCCGGGGGCAAATGTCGAGAAATCTCGCCTGCAAATTATCAAATTCTCTACAAGAAAGAGCTCTTGCCATTTTTCGTTGGGACTGATCCTTTCTGAGATGATGGCATAATCAACTTTTCTATTTTATTTCTTTAAAAATGAATAATTAGTGCAAAAAAATTGTTTATTGTTCGTTTGTCCAGTAGACGCTTGAAGTGTTAAATATAGTCCAGGGCCTCCAATTTTTGAGCTACAGAGCTGTTCTTTTCAAAAATTTTGAAAAAATGTGTACAATACCAATTACGAGTTAGTTTTTTGAAATTCGACTGCTACACAACAAATTTTGTTTTTTTTAAGGCCCGGGTGTACTATCTTTCGAATGTTATCTGGATTTTTTTTATCTTTCGTAATCCAAAATTGTCAATTGAGTGGTACATCATGTAAAAATTCCCAAAAATTATGATAGAATGATAAAAAAAATATAAATAATTCTGAACTTTTTCAAAGAGCGTTTTTAATTGAGATTCATAATCAGTTGAAAAAAGTGGAAATTACTAATATCTGATTCGCTGTGGCAAATTATATATTAGCTGTCATTTTCCATGGTGGATAACAAAACACTAACTCCACATGGGAAGTGACAGTTAGGTATCTCAATTTTCAAAACAGTGGTATGTAGTCATCTGCCATTTTTATGTGATAAAAGTGTGATTAAAAAATTCTCCAAAATATTACAACTTTTTTCAAAGAGCCTTTTCCGTAATAAATGTCTCTGTGCAGTGTGGGAAAAGATTTACAAAATCAGTCTTCCCCCTGCATGATATTGGGTGACAGGCCGCCATTTGTCACCGTAAATCAGATGCATTTTTCAATTTCTCGTTATTCAACTTATTCTGAATATAAATTAAAAATTCTCTTTGAAAAAATTAAGAATTCTTTCTTCTTTTTTATTATTATTCATTCATAATTCTTCAAAACTTCTGCATGATGCAGGACTTAATTGCCAATTTCAGATGACGAAAGATGAAAAAAAAAACATCGAGATAACATTCGAAAGATATTACACTCGGGCCTTAAATGATTAAATTGTCATTATGAAATCATGACAAACACATAGTACGTACTTGCTGGAGGTGGATTATAACTTGGCATTGTTGGTGGAGGCTTGTACCCGTAAACTGTGTGATAAGGCGATGCTGTGGTTGGTGGGGAAGGGCTGTGGCCTCTCTTCAAAGGCCCCTGTTGAAAAAAAATCAACTTGTTCATCTTGATTTTTTTCTCTCGGCATAGTAGCCTCGAAAGAAAAAATCCAGAGACATTACTGTAGAGAATTGGATTCTTCTCCTAAACCCGCAAGTCTCAGAGATGCTGAAAGAATAATTTTAAAAATGTATGAAGAAAAAATTCTTACATTCACACTCGGCAAAAGAGTGTGTGTGGGCGTTGCAGCAGTGACTTTATACAATGGACTTCTAGTAGGCAAAGGAAGAAACAACTGGGGATGCACGACATTCGTTCCAGCAGGTGGATAATTGCTGACGCTCGTCAGAACCTCTGAACAAACACTGAAACAACGAAAAAAGTGGTTGATTTTTTAATTTATCTGAAAACTGGAAAAACAAACGATGAAGAAAAACAATTAATGGATAATAATTACCTGGCTTCTTTAGTGAGTTGTCTCCTCCTGTTGTCATCCTCATTCAACACTTTCTTGAGCTGCAAAAACAGCTGGTGCTTCTCGTCCTTCAGCTGTGACAACTCAGCCTCCAGCACTGAAATTTGCTCTCTGGTCTCTCCCAGGGTCATAACGTCCTGCTTCTGCTGTCTCTCTCTCTCCTTTCTCTGTCTCTCCTCTTCAGCATCAGCCTCTTGTTCTAAAGCAAAAATGATAATTATGGTAAATGGACTTAGAACAAATGGATTTAGAGCAAATTATGTGTAAAAATTTCTTCTTATTATGAAGGAGAGCTAAAAATCTTCTTTAAGTAGGTGGTTGTCTTGTAAGTGGTCTGTCCCATGAGAAAATATCAGGAAAGCTTTGGGAGGAAAAGTAAATTCAAAAAGTAAAAAAAAAATAATTCATCATTGATAATTTTTCCCATAAATTCTAACTTTGATGAGTGCAAGAAATAAATTCATCAAATTCCTTCTTCGATTATTTTTTCAAACAAGTCTCTCGTTTGACTACGGTGTTTCGACATAGCATGGCATTTCAGACAGGCAAAACGATAAATTATTTATTACAAAAGTTTGACAGTGATGATAGTTTTTATATTGGGCATAGAATTTTTATCCATTATTCCTGGTATTTTCGAGATTTTTTCTCAATTCAAAAAGTTTATTTTCTCATAAGACTGATATTTTTGGAGATACATTAACAGAAAAAATAATTGATCACATGATTGCACACGAGCAATATCATTGAAAGGTGTTTCGACATAGCACGGCATTTCAGACAGGCAAAACGATAAATTATTTATTACAAAAGTTTGACAGTGATGATAGTTTTTATATTGGGCATAGAATTTTTATCCATTATTCCTGGTATTTTCGAGATTTTTTCTCAATTTCAAAAAGTTCATTTTCTCATAAGACTGATATTTTTGGAGATACATTAACAGAAAAAATAATTGATCACATGATTGCACACGAGCAATATCATTGAAAGGTGTTTCGACATAGCACGGCATTTCAGACAGGCAAAACGATAAATTATTTATTACAAAAGTTTGACAGTGATGATAGTTTTTATATTGGGCATAGAATTTTTATCCATTATTCCTGGTATTTTCGAGATTTTTTCTCAATTCAAAAAAGTTCATTTTCTCATAAGACTGATATTTTTGGAGATACATTAACAGAAAAAATAATTGATCACATGATTGCACACGAGCAATGTTACTGAAAGGTGAAATAATCAGTACAATTTACATTTTATTTATGGAGTATTCAATCCGAGTTGAAATCGTCCAGAAACGAATCCCTGTCCAGAAATTGACCTGTTTCCCTACCACTTAAACTGGCATTCAATGTCACTCTCCCAACAACTTACTAGTCGACTATCGCTACAATTGCAATTTCATTCCAACAGTGTAATTCCCATTTACGTAATTTTTCCAGTCTTCCAACGACTCCAACCCATCCGCATTACCTTGCTTTTTCCTCTGCCTTTCCCTGATGATGTGTGCCTTCAACGCCTGCCACATCTGTTCGCTCCTCTGGGGGGGCCCCGTCGTCACCGCCGGCATCTCAACTGCCGAGTAAATTTCTTCGCAACTGAGTAAATCAAGCAAATTTGTGGGAGAGTTCAGACACTGACAAAATTGACAAATTCGTAGCAACGAGGTTAGGAGAATTCTGGGATGCTTGCAGGGGCTCGTAGAGGGGATACCGCGTCTCTCATTGGTGGAGGGGCCGTCGTCGCATGAGAATTAACTCCATAACCCACGAGTTCGTTGACATTTGGCGTTTGTCGAGCGGAAAAATAAACAAAATCGGTTCGTCGTCACATCAACTTCATTTTCAATTGTTTAATTGTGAGTAATAATCAGTGACAAATGAACATATTAGTGACAACTGAATGAGTAATGGATAGTCTCACCTAAAACACAAAAATAATTTATGAAAACTTAAAAAACAAAAAACAAGAATTTGAGGGAAATTTTTGTAAAAAATTGGTTGATTGTTAGGGGAGGGTGGGGTAAAACGGACACTTGACTTTTTTTTTAATATTAATGAGGGGTTAAAATGTTGATGAAATTTAATCTTTTTTTTCTCAGTACAAAGAACAATTTTTTCCCTTTGTGACGAGCCTAAACTGAGCTCAATTCATAAATTTGTTTCTGAGTTATAAATTATTTGTAAAAAGTCTCAAGTGTCCATTTTACCCCACCCTCCCCTAATTGTCGATATCTCCAGGAGAATTTAGTTGTTAAGGCGAATAATGAGCATGAGAATAGACACCACAAGTTCGTTGAAGTTTTGTCATTTGTCGAGCGGAAAAATAAACAAAATCGGTTCGTCGTCACATCAACTTCATTTTCAATTGTTTAATTGTGAGTAATAATCAGTGACAAATGAACGTATTAGTGACAACAGGGACTAAATGGGTAATGGATAGTCTCACCTAAAACACATAAAAATATTTCATGAAAACTTAAAAAACAGAAAACAAGAATTTGAGGGGAATTTTTGTAAAAAATTGGTTGATTGTTAGGGGAGGGTGGGGTAAAACGGACACTTGACTTTTTTTTAAATATTAATCAGGGGTTAAAATGTTGATGGAATTTAATCATTTTTTTTTTTAGTACAAAGAACAATTTTTTCCCTTTGTGACGAGCCTAAACTGAGCTCAATTCATAAATTTGTTTCTGAGTTATAAATTATTTGTAAAAAGTCTCAAGTGTCCATTTTACCCCACCCTCCCCTAATTGTCGATATCTCCAGGAGAATTTAGTTGTTAAGGCGAATAATGAGCATGAGAATAGACACCACAAGTTCGTTGAAGTTTTGTCATTTGTCGAGCGGAAAAATAAACAAAATCGGTTCGTCGTCACATCAACTTCATTTTCAATTGTTTAATTGTGAGTAATAATCAGTGACAAATGAACGTATTAGTGACAACAGGGACTAAATGGGTAATGGATAGTCTCACCTAAAACACATAAAAATATTTCATGAAAACTTAAAAAACAGAAAACAAGAATTTGAGGGGAATTTTTGTAAAAAATTGGTTGATTGTTAGGGGAGGGTGGGGTAAAACGGACACTTGACTTTTTTTTAAATATTAATCAGGGGTTAAAATGTTGATGGAATTTAATCATTTTTTTTTTTAGTACAAAGAACAATTTTTTCCCTTTGTGACGAGCCTAAACTGAGCTCAATTCATAAATTTGTTTCTGAGTTATAAATTATTTGTAAAAAGTCTCAGGTGTCCATTTTACCCCACCCTCCCCTAATTGTCGATATCTCCAGGAGAATTTAGTTGTTAAGGCATGAGAATAGACACCACGAGTTCGTTGACGTTTTGTCATTTGTCGAGCGGAAAAATAAACAAAATCGGTTCGTCGTCACATCAACTTCATTTTCAATTGTTTAATTGCGAGTAATAATCAGGTGACAAATGAACGTATTAGTTCATCAAAAATGAACGTATTAGTGACAGCAGGCATTGAGTGAATAATGGATAATCTCACCTAAAATACATAAAAATTATTCATAAAAATATTAAAAACAAAAAACAAGAGTTTAAAGAGCGTAAATTTTTCTTACAAAATGTTCAATATTAATTATTAATACCTCTGGTACAATTGAAAAACTACGTTTTGTCATTTATCGCGAAAAAAACACTAAATTATTTCATCAACTAATCAACCCTAATTTTTCAATTGTTTAATCATCAATAATCAGTGTAAAAATAAGTGATAAACTAAAGAAACCGAATGAACAATACCTCACCTAAAATACATGAAAAACATTCATAAAGCCATTAAAACCATAAATCAAGAATTTTAACAGAATTTGTTTTATAACAAATTGTTCGATATTAATTGTTAATACCTCCAGCAAAATTAATTTGTCAACACAATTTTTTTTGTCAACAAATTAATGGTTTAATCATTTTTTTCTTTATTGTTCCAGTAAAAAAATAACCAAAATCGTTTCATCAACAAATCAACCCAAAATTTCAATTGTTTAATCATCGATAATTTGTGAAAAATGAGTCTATTATTGACAACAGAAACGGGATGGATAATATCCCACCTGAAATACATCAAAACAATTTACAGAGACATTAAAAACAAAAATCAACAAGACCAAGAGTTTGAATTAAATTTTTATAACAAATTGTTCGATATAAATTGTCAATACCTCCGGGATAATCAATTTGAGAAGGCGATTAACGGAGTAATTAAGGATAATAATGATGACGATGACAAGAATAAGAGGAAGAGAAAGAGAAAGAGAAAATTCGAAGTTGATTCCTCGATTTTGAAAGAAATAAAATTTGTTAAAGAGACTTTTGAGGGAATAATGAGTGAAAACGTGAGAGAGGAATTTTTTCCGAGGACAGGGGGAGCATTGGGGGTTGCGGATAACAACAGGGAGGCTCGGGAGGGATGCAACGATTTTTTTCAGAGGAGTTTTAGAGAGTTTAATGAGTTCCTTGGAAGAAACTCGAGGGGTGAAGCTGTTGTGGAGAGTATCGAAGGGGTGGAGTATGTCTTTCCTGAGAACTGTGAGTTCTATTCACATGATGTGAGGAATATTGAGGGAGTGCTAGAGGGGAGGGAGTTTGATTTCGTGCTGATGGACCCTCCCTGGTGGAATAAATTCGTGAGGAGGAAGAAGGAGAGGATGAGTGAGGCTGGGTGAGTTGAATGGGGTTTGAGATATTTTTTATCCTGAGGGAAGGGATTTAAGGGGAAATGTGGAGACTTTTTTGTGGAGATTTCAAGGGAAATTAAAAAAGATTTCATTTTTTTGAAACTACTGCAACCAATTTTCCATAAAATAGTATGAATAAACTCCAGTTAAATCGTTGAGTGCAATAAGGAAAAATAGTTTCAAAAAGCTCAAAAAAAAATTATTTATTATTTATATAATTTTTCCCATGAATTTTAACTTTTTTTAGTGTGAGGAATTGATCCATCAAATTCTTTCTTCATTTTTTTAAACAATAATCTCTTGTTTGACTAGGATGTTTCGGCATCGAGGCAGAAACATAATATATTTATTACTGAAGTTGACACTGACGATAATATGCATATTGAGCATAGAAATTCTATTTATTTTTTCTGATTCATTTTCATTTCATTTTCATTTTCATTTTCATTTTTCATTTTTTTGCAACTACTGCTACCAATTTTCCATAAAATAGTATGAATAAACTCCAGTTAAATCGTTGAGTGCAATAAGGAAAAATAGTTTCAAAAAGCTCAAAAAAAAATTATTTATTATTTATATAATTTTTCCCATGAATTTTAACTTTTTTTAGTGTGAGGAATTGATCCATCAAATTTTTTCTTCATTTTTTTAAACAATAAGCTCTTGATTGACTAGGATGTTTCGGCATCGAGGCAGAAACATAATATATTTATTACTGAAGTTGACACTGACGATAATATGCATATTGAGCATAGAAATTCTATTTATTTTTTCTGATTCATTTTCATTTCATTTTCATTTTCATTTTCATTTTTCATTTTTTTGCAACTACTGCTACCAATTTTCCATAAAATAGTATGAATAAACTCCAGTTAAATCGTTGAGTGCAATAAGGAAAAATAGTTTCAAAAAGCTCAAAAAAAAATTATTTATTATTTATATAATTTTTCCCATGAATTTTAACTTTTTTTAGTGTGAGGAATTGATCCATCAAATTTTTTCTTCATTTTTTTAAACAATAAGCTCTTGATTGACTAGGATGTTTCGGCATCGAGGCAGAAACATAATATATTTATTACTGAAGTTGACACTGACGATAATATGCATATTGAGCATAGAAATTCTATTTATTTTTTCTGATTCATTTTCATTTCATTTTCATTTTCATTTTCATTTTTCATTTTTTTGCAACTACTGCTACCAATTTTCCATAAAATAGTATGAATAAACTCCAGTTAAATCGTTGAGTGCAATAAGGAAAAATAGTTTCAAAAAGCTCAAAAAAAAATTATTTATTATTTATATAATTTTTCCCATGAATTTTAACTTTTTTTAGTGTGAGGAATTGATCCATCAAATTTTTTCTTCATTTTTTTAAACAATAAGCTCTTGATTGACTAGGATGTTTCGGCATCGAGGCAGAAACATAATATATTTATTACTGAAGTTGACACTGACGATAATATGCATATTGAGCATAGAAATTCTATTTATTTTTTCTGATTCATTTTCATTTCATTTTCATTTTCATTTTCATTTTTCATTTTTTTGCAACTACTGCTACCAATTTTCCATAAAATAGTATGAATAAACTCCAGTTAAATCGTTGAGTGCAATAAGGAAAAATAGTTTCAAAAAGCTCAAAAAAAAATTATTTATTATTTATATAATTTTTCCCATGAATTTTAACTTTTTTTAGTGTGAGGAATTGATCCATCAAATTTTTTCTTCATTTTTTTAAACAATAAGCTCTTGATTGACTAGGATGTTTCGGCATCGAGGCAGAAACATAATATATTTATTACTGAAGTTGACACTGACGATAATATGCATATTGAGCATAGAAATTTTATTTATTTTTTCTGATTTATTAATATTTTTTCTAGATTTTAATCTTCTGTCTCACCTAGAAAAGTTTATTTCTTCATAATTAATTATTATTAATAATACTAGACCGCCGATTGGACACAAATTCAACCAGAATGTTTCTATTCATATTAACTTCTGTTTAGAATTTATTTCAGACTTTAATCTTCAAAATTCGAGTCATGTTCATACTATTTTAATCATCAAAAATGTTTTTTTCATAGGTTCCCCCATCAACTTGAAAAAATTATAGAATTTTCCTCGAACATTAAAAAAAATCGGAAGGTCGATAAACATTCTTGATGAGATGGTTATTTGATTAGAGCAGATGAATTTAGATTGACGCCACTATTAAAAACCTTTTTCCATAAATCATTTATAAACAATTAATTTTTCACCTCAAAAAATATTCATTTTTCCTAAAAAAAAATAAGATCTCTGAAAGTTTAAACTTCAATATTTTCATCATTCATTCATCAGAAGGGAATATTTAATGAAATAATAATTTTTCTGTTTTTTGTAATTATCGTAAATGTAATTTGAATGGAGGCGAATATCCCTCAATTAAAAAAAAAATTCTCACTCAATTTAATTGACAAATTTGATGTTTGAAAATTTATGAAGCTCTAGTGTAACCCGTACTAAACTGTAACAAAACACTTGAATACTCTTGAATGGATTAGTTTCCAAATGGAATAAAGCAGATGTTTTATGCTCATTTCTCAGGTATAAGATGATGTATAATGATGAGCTACTGAAGATACCCATTGGGAAATTATTAGCATCGAATGGGGTCATTGGAGTCTGGTGTAGCAATGCTCAGAGTCATCATTCCGATATTATCGAGAAGATCTTCCCGAGTTGGGGCATTAAACCGATTGGCACTTGGTACTGGGTCAAGGTAAATCATTTCAAGCCTTGAACTTCAATGACGTGACGTCAAATATTAACAACGAATTTTTTAAGAAATGCTGTTTCAATCAATTTATTCATCGCTTAAAGTAGCACGAATAAACGCCAGGAGGAAAAATAAATTCGAAAAGCCCAAATAAAAATTATTCATCATTGATAATTTTTTCCATGAATTCTCACTTTGATGAGTGAAAGAAATGGGTTCATCTAATTTTTTTCTCAATTATTGAGTTTAACAATAGTCTCTCGCTTGACTAGGGCGTTCCGCAGAAAAATAAATTATTTATTACAAAAGGTGGACCTGACGATAATTTTCAGATTCGGCATAGAATTTTCACTTATTTTGTTTGATTTTTCGCAATTTTTTTCTAGACTTTAATCTTTTTTCTAGCCTCAAAAAATTAATTTTCTCATAAGACTGTGTTATTTTTGCACTTCTAGATTAACTATTATCAATAACACTAGACTGCCAATTGAGCATAAACGCAACCAGAATGTTTCTATTAATATTTCTAAACTTTCGTTTAGAATTTATTTCAGATTTTTTTTAAAAATTGGTGTTATTTTTATACTACTCCAAGTGGTCGCACAATGAGGGAATCCCCGTTGTTTCTCGATTTCTTAAAGTGTTTCGAGTAAAAAGTTGAAATAATGAAAAAAATTGGAAAATTCATGGGTGAAACGTCTGAGTATGCTGCGTCATTGAGAATTCTTACACATTTTTTTCAGATCTCAGTCTGAAGAAAAAAAATTATGAAATTTGGATGTTTTTGTAACCCCTCCAGCTATAACCTCCAAGGTTACCCCACTCTCAATTAGGGAAATTTCCCCGGCACCCAAAAAAATGATGAACACGAGACGCATTTGAATATTATTTCAATAATTATAAAAACATCCAATAAAAATTATTTGACATCCGTAGGTGACGAGAAAAAAATCAATCAGATCTCAGTCTGAAGAAAAAAAATTATGAAATTTGGATGTTTTTGTAACCCCTCCAGCTATAACCTCCGAGGTTACCCCACTCTCAATTAGGGAAATTTCCCCGGCACCCAAAAAAATGATGAACACGAGACGCATTTGAATATTATTTCAATAATTAGAAAAACATCCAATAAAAATTATTTGACATCCGTAGGTGACGAGAAAAAAATCAATCAGATCTCAGTCTGAAGAAAAAAAATTATGAAATTTGGATGTTTTTGTAACCCCTCCAGCTATAACCTCCGAGGTTACCCCACTCTCAATTAGGGAAATTTCCCCGGCACCCAAAAAAATGATGAACACGAGACGCATTTGAATATTATGTCAATAATTAGAAGAACATCCAATAAAAATTATTTGACACCCGTAGGTGATGATAAAAAAATCAATCAATCTGATAAATAAAATCAGTATTCAAAAAATGTTCAAATGCACACTTAAATAGTTACTTGATAATTGGAAAATTTGGTACTCAGCGATTGCATGAGGGCTCGAGATCAATAAGACTCCCCTTCCTGCGGTGATCAACCTACGAAACACCTTAAGGGAGAATCGAGTGTATTGCAATATCAGAAACAAAATGTTGAAGAATGTTCATCTGATTTCTGTTCAGGTAACACAGTCTGGACACCCAATCTGCAATTTCCGTTATGAATCCGTGAAGCAGCCTTATGAATTAATTATTTTTGGTGTTAAAATTGGAAACGATGAAGTTAAGATTCCAGATAAGAGGATTGTGATTAGTGTACCAAGCTCTGTACACTCTCACAAGCCCCCATTAACAGGTAATCCTTCGAAACGTGAATGAATATTCATATAGGGAAGGCCGGGACAAAATGGGGTATTTTGATTTATTTGAAAATCTTCAAAATTTTTTTGAAAATCAGAATTCCAGGGATATTTTTGAATATCTTGCTTCAAATGAATTGAATCATAGCTTAGGATGTTTGTTTTAATGGAGATTTTTTTTATCGTTATTTTACATCGCTTCGACCCGGTTAGGGTATGCTGCGATGATGATCAAGACTTTAAATGGTTAGATCTCACCATTCTATCCGGCCGGGTTTTGAACTCGGAACCTTTCGCACGTGAAGAAACGAACTTACCCACTGCGCCAAGCCACCAGGCAATTTTTTTTTTTNAGACAATCGGTTATATAGAAGGGAGATATAATAAGAGTAATGATGATAATATCATTCAGACGAGTTGAAAATCTGACAAAATCAGTTTAAAAAAATTTTTATTCAATTTAAGAAAATGAAATAAACTATGAATTATATATGATAGGGGAACATAATATGTAAAATCGGCATTTGGAAACACATTGCTGTTTTATTAGCAAAAATAACTACACTGTATGCAATACAAGAGCCATTTTCCACTTGTTTACAACTTCGATCGATGATAGAATGTTTATAATGCGAGATATTCTTTCAGAGGTGATTAAACAATTTCTTCCCGAAAATCCAAAGTGCCTGGAGATTTTCGCACGATATTTACTGCCTCATTGGACCAGCTATGGATTAGAAGTATTAAAATTTCAACATCAGTGGCTTTTTAAATGAGAGAAAAAACTTGAAAATCATCATTAAATTTTAAATAAAATTTGTTTTCACACGAATTCGACAGCATTCGTTGTCTTTAATTATTTCAAGGAACAGGGAACTCCTCGGTATTCAGACGTTTTTATTCAAACTCAAGTTCTTGGAACGTCGAAGGTAAATTTCTTCGCATAAAAATAGAACAAACTGCAGTCACGAGAGCATTTTGTCATGCAACAGATCGGTAGTTCCCAGCAATTGTTGTTTTACCTGACGAATTGGTCTGAAAATATATCACGGATAAATTTCAAAGGTAAAATAGTCGTTTATCCTTTGAGACGAATTAGTTCGGCATTCCGGGGACTGTAAAAATGATTAGCGTTTTGCCGGCTTCAGGACTGAGGAAGTTGGTGATTCCCCTCAATGGAGTTTGGGCTTCCCACAAAAAATGTAGGTTATTGTGGAAAGATTTGCAATAATGATCCTGAAGTTTGAAAATAAAGAATTGTAGGTTTTTTCATAATTTTGAAACTATAATTCAACTTCCTTCGCAGAAATCGGTGATTCCCCTGTCTAGTTTTTTCTTCAACAAGAGAATTATACAAACAGACTAAACTTCATATCTCAATTGTCCCAAAAATGTAATTGAAAAAATTGAAATCTCAGTTTTCCAAAAAATTTAAACAACGATAAAAATTGTAATTCTCAAAAAATGGTTTGAACATTTGGAATTCCTTCGAAATTGTTCTTTGAATTCTGTTTTTTGATATCGTAATATTGCCTTCTTCAAATATTTACCAAAAAACGTACAACAAATTTTTAAAAAAACCATTTTTATGAAATATCTTGGAAAAAAAATGTCAAAATTTTCAAATTTCTTTGAAATTTTGGAAATCGTGATCTTATTTTCTCCACAAAGAAACCTCAATTTTAAAAAAATAGCAGTAAAATGATCAGAATTCAGGAGTCAGTAATTGTCTGCTTTAAATATTTTTCCAACAAGAAAAAAGAAAAAATCTCAACAAATCTCAATTTCTTAAAATATCTCGGAAATAAAAAATTCTAAATTTTCACAAATTCGACTGATTGAATTTTTTTTTCCAATTTCGGGATCATTATCTCATTTCTTTCACAAAATTCAATGATTTCCCTGTCCTTAAAAAAATTATATAAATCTCATTTTCTTAGAATTTCTCAGAAAGAAAAAATTCTCAATTTTCAAAAATTTGACTGATTCAATGTTTTTATTCGTTCCAATTTGGAAATCATGATGTCACTTTCTCATAAAAATTGGTGATTCCCCTAGAAAAATTATAAAAATCTCAATTGAAAAATTATAAAAATCTCAAAACTTAAACAAAAACAATCGAAGTTATCGAAAAACGATTAAAAAATTTTGAATCAATTTGAAATTCCTCTTTGAAAAATAAAATCATAGAATTTTCTGTTTGTAATTTTGAAATAGTACGTTGAGAGGTAATTTCGGAACGTTCATTGATCCTCACTTCACCAAACAATAGGTAATGCAATGCCCCATGCATATTTCACATCTCAATTGTCTAAAAAATATAAACAATAAAAAATTGAAATATTTGAGAAAGAAGAATGTCAAAATTTTCAAATTTCTTTGAAGTTCTCCAAAAAATCTCAATAAAAAAAATTAAGCAATAAATATATCGAAATCATAAAAATAATGATCTGAAAATTCGGAATGTCTCCAAATATTTTTCCAACGAAATAGCAGAAGAAATCCCAAAAAATCTCAATTTCTTGAAATATCTCAGAAATATTAAATTCTAAATTTTTAAAAATTTGACTGATTAAATTTTTCGATTCGTTCCAATTTCGAAATCATGATGTCACTTTCTCATAAAAATCGGTGATTCCCCTAAAAAAATTATAAAAATCTCAATTTTAGAAAAAACTTGAACAAAAACAATGGAAGTTCTCGAAAAACGATTAAAAAATTTTGAATCAATTTGAAATTCCTCTTTGAAAAATAAAATCATAGAATTTTCTGTTTGTAATTTTGAAATAGTACGTTGAGAGGTAATTTCGGAACGTCCGTTGATCCCCACTCACCAAACAATAGGTAATGTCACCATACATATTTGACTACAGTGCGTGACCATGACGTTTACCTGGTTTACCTGTTCTGTTGTCTCTGTTGTAACAACAGAGGTTACGCCTGTGACGAACAAAAAAAATGATTACAACTGTAAAAACAGTCGCCGAAGATCGTATTATCCTCCAAAGTAATGGAGAGTGATTACTCACGGAATTTTGTAACTAATAAAGTGCGGAATTTCAAGGATTTTGACTATCAAGCTCGTGAAAAGTGAAATCGGTTACTTAACCCCTGTGAATTGTTCGGTGAACGAGAGTGATGGAAGAGCGTCCGAGTCAATGAACGTGGTATTGCCCTCGGGAAGTCATTAATTACTGTCAGAATGTCCCAAGGTATTTATTCATGTATTTTTCTTTTTTTTTATTTCGTAAAAATTTGATTTTCGAGGGAAAAAGTTTTTTTTCTGCTAATTACAGAGGACTTTTTGCGGGATGTGGCCAGGGCTATCGAAGGATGCAACACAATCCGGTATCCGACGTACAGAACTGCTGCTAAGGTTCAAATATTACACAGCGAACTCCACAGTAAGTTAATTAAACATCACTGTTAACACTTTTTGGTTGAAGGTTTTGGTACACTTCTAGGAAATTTTCAGCTCAATTATTCTCCGCAAAAATGTTTTTGTTTCTCAATTTTTTTGTTTTTTTTTCTTTATTTTGATTTTTATTAAAATTTAAGGAAGTCGAGGAATTTTCGTCTTTTCGATGCTCAAAAATTTGGAATTCCGTTGATTTTTCTGCGAAATTTTATGATTTTTTCCCCTCTATATCAAATTATTAAAAAAAATGTTTTTTTTTTTAATTTTTTGTCTTCATTACTGGAATAATTCTGTATTTAAAAGAGGTATTTGAACGTCCTTGAGTGGTTGTTTGACCCTCAAAATGATTTGACCATCAAATTGAAGGGTTTTGAGAGATTATTTAATCCTCAAGATCATTTGACCCTCAATTCCAAAAGCCTCGAAAGGATCATTTCATCCACTTCTTGGAAATTTTTATTAAGTAACAGATCTACTAGAATTCCAAGCAAATTTGCCATTAAAAATTGAAAATTTTATGGAAAACTCAATGGAAACGATAAATTTTAGGTCAATTATTCGATGGAAATTGACAGAAATCAGGAAATTCCAGCAGTATAAATTTTAGAATTTTTCATTAATTAGAAATTCAGTATAATTTCGGACCAACATGTCCGGAATTATAAATTCATGTTTTCATTAAAATTCAAGTGACTTGAGAAATAGTTGTCTTTTCGTTGCTCAAAAATTTGGAATTCCGTTGATTTTTCTGTGAAATTTTATGATTTTTCCCTCTTATTTCGATATCTCAACTGTTCGGAGCTGTCAATAAAATTTAAGTTTTCTTTTCTAACAGTATGCTCTGACCGAATCCACACAAAATTAAAAAAATTGTAGATTAAATTTTAATCCTCAAGATCATTTGACCCTCAATTCCAAAAGTCTTTAAAGAATCATTTCACCCACTTTTTGGAAATTTTTATTAAGTGACAAATCTACTAGAATTCCAAGAATATTTGCCATTGAAAATTGATAATTTTATGGAAAACTCAATGGAAACGATAAATTTTAGGTCAATTCTTCAGTGGAAATTTATAGAAACCAGGAAATTTCACGTGTAGATATTTTTGAATTTTCAATTCTTTGAAAATTCAACACATAATTCCGGACTAACAATTCATATTTTCATTAAAATTCAAGTGGCTTGAGAATTTTTGGCCTTTTTGTTACTCAAAAATTTGGAATTCCATTGATTTTTCAGTGAAATTTCATGACATTTTCCTCTTATACTGAAAAATGTTAATCTACATCGTGAAAATTGAAAAAAAAATCATTTTCTTTATTCAAAGAATTTCCAGTGATTTTCTGTTTCATTTTTCCAGTGCAATATGTCGAGTTGAAAACAGTAATGGGTGTCTTTGAGCGTCACCGGCTGTCAGTAACCGAGAACTCTGTTCCACTGGACGAGACAGAAATAGAGGACGTTATATCCGATATTTACTTCGCCTCTCACAAGGAGTGCGAGGTGGATTTCGATGTCAATCAGGCAACGAAGTTGGCTGTTAACTGTGTAATAAGGATTTTCGATCAGTGAGTCATCTTATCCCCAATGGATTCAATTAATGTTTGAACCTCGCATCAGTTCATTAATTATCATATAGACTGTTTCACGAATATCTGAGAGACTTGTGGGTCTAGAGTTGAAATTTATCTCTGACTTTTCATGTCATTTAGTTCAACGTGATTGGAATTAAAAAAACATTCATCTCCAATCTGACAGCGAAATCTTCTGATATTTCTCTCTGAAATCAGTCCTCACCAAGATTATTCGTTAATTGATGGAGTAAATGCAATTAACGATTTCAAAGAATAATTACCAAGATTACGGAACAGTTAAGAAAATAGTTAAATTAATTTAGACAAGATGAATTTTTGTTACTCCAGAGAATGATTAGAATTGTAAAAAGAAGAAGAATTCTTTAAAAAATCTCTTGAAATGTTTGGCCAAAGAATTCAATTCAGATTAATTTTTCCTTAATTCACTCGTTATTGAATTACTGAAACAATTGATGAAGCAATTAATATGGCTATTCGATAAATTCAGGTGAATCATTGTCAATTAGGTAATCATTATGTATATTCGTTAATTATCTAAAAATAAGTCAATCTTTCTCATTGAGAATTGCATGAGCTACACACAAGCCCTCACGACACGTCCCCCTAAATGCCTTCGTTCTAGAGATAGTCGTAAATAATCCAGACGTGAATGTTTCACTCATTCCCCTTTATCACTTTCCCGCAGTGATCGTAAAGGAAAAGTATCAGTATTCCCAGTAAAAGTGTTCCTAACTCTTTTATGCTGCGGGAAACTCCAGGAGAAATACGAGTATCTGTATCAGTTGCTCGCAGACCACAACGCATGTTTATCCAAGGCT